GGAGCCACTGGCAGGACGCAACTCGCGCCGCCGCGCCAACAACAGCATCTCCGTCTTCTCTCAGATGGACGAGATATCTGACTTCGGTGAGGACATCGTCAACGACAACACCAAGCTCAAGGGCGTCATCTGGCCAGGCATGTCCATCTTCGATTCCGCCACGCCTGACATGAAGCGTCGACGCAATCAGAAGAAGGATGCTCGTGTTCTCAGAGCACTGCAAGCCACGAGCGAGATTGTTGAACCCACCGAGTGCGTGTACGACACCGCTGGAGAGCTCCGCCGTGAGCGCGATATCACCGGCCTGCCCCCTTCCGAAGATGACCTGATTGAGGGCGAGTCCGAGCCGGAACCAGAAGAGCAAGAGAAGAAGCGTCCCCGCCGCAACGGACGCCAGGCTTTGGTAAAGAAGGAACCCAACACGGGTCGAGTCACTCGGGGACGCAAGCAAGCCGCTCCGCTGTTCACTCGCACCACCAAAGCGACATACTTCGACGGCCTGGACAAGGACGATGAGCTGACCTACAGAGCCCGTCCAAAGCAGCGCACCGGTCTGAGCATTCATCGCGACAATACCGGCCCAGAGATCACTTTCAACCAGCCAAATTCGCTGAACTACCTCACCGCTGGCTACGCTCCGCTCCACGGCAGTGCTTCCACTGGTCTGTTCCAGCGTTCTCATGCGCTTGAAAACCCTCTGATGCCACGGTCCCACAACCGCGAATTTTCGTGGGGTCAATCTCACGTCCCATTTCGTCCATCCTCGAATGGACTCACTAATCCTCACCAACAGGCATACTCCACCTTCGGCGGAATGTTCAGCCAGCCACCAGTTGCCTCCAGCGCCAACGCCAACGTCAGTGCCATTGCCTCTGCCTCTGCCGCCAGTGGCCACTCCTCCGGCGCCTTCGCCCACAACTTTGGAGCTGGACCAACCATGCCCAACAATACTAATACACTCTTCCAGACTTCTACTGGTGATTTGTGGGACATCTTCAATAGCGTTACGGATCCAGTCGATAGTATTGTGGGTGACGCCGATCTCGGTTTTGGTGTTGGCGGTAAGCTGGTCAGCCTTGCCTCACATCCACTCGGACAAACACTAATCATGTCGTGCTCGCCGAACAGGAGAAGCCCTTCCAAACAATGCACTCTTTCTGTCAGACGTCAAGCCGGCAGTCGAGGACGAAGAGGGCACCCTCTCCGCAGCGAGTGAGCACTGAGACATGATTGCCCTCCTCATCACGACTCGAACCTCAAGACACACGACTCGGCTCCTTCACCAATGGTCTTGCCGTGGAGTCTCCAAAAAGATCCTGTGAGTTGAGGCTGCATTTGCAGGAGCTGGGGAAAAGCAGAGCTGACAGTGTATCACAGAACTTTCACGACATCCTCTTGCTCTCAGCACTTCACGGCGCCTCCACGGCAATCACTCACAAAGTTTGGGGCGAGGTGCTGCCATTGGTCTCACGGAAAAGGGGTGACATTCACAGAAAAATGGCTGCATAATGGGGAAGGCGGCACATGCGTTCAGTGTGGTGGAGGATTCGGACATGACCTTTGGATGCAGTTTCGGCAAGATGCAGCATTGCTAAGGGAACCCATGTACCGATGGTAATGTGTGATGCTTAACGACAGAAATGGGACAGAACGGGACGGCTTGCTATTGGCATACAGCCTCGACACTCGTTCATATGCCGAAGTTCTGTGCACCTCCAGGCGAGGTAGCAGACGACGGCTAATATGCGGTCAATCAGAGAGAGGCAGCCATTACTGTTGACAATTGATTGCAACATGCTCTCTACTCTCTCTCTTTCCTGTCATCCAGTTGTGATCTGCTCCTGGCTTGGCACTTGCCGAGGCGTTTGGTCTACTTCCCGAACCGGCCACACTATAGTCTTGCGATTTACATCTCCAGGACCAAATGATCACACGGACATTGTGGCGCGCTTCTCAGCCTCAATTGAAGATGTCAAGAAAAGTATCTCAAGGTCGCCCATACTGAAATCGTCAACGCTGTTGCTCGGTGCTGGGCGACGCGGTGTGCGTCATCAAAGAATCCTTCCGTTGATGGCTCCTGGCAACTTCATCGCGTGTTTCGCGTATTGCTGCTGTTGTAGGCGCGTCAATCCATGCCACCTTCACATATCCGGCTCGCAAGAAGACCATGCCAGCGAGATCTGTAGGCTGCTATCAGTGCCGCAAACGCAAAATCAGATGTGATCTACGGCGACCCGGTTGCGATCGGTGCAAGACTCATGGCGTTGCCTGCCCTGGATACCGAGAGCCTATGCCTGGCCAGATTACGTTTGCTGATGAGACCGGTGATGTAGTGCGAAGAGCCACGAAGGCGAAGAAAGGCTCTACAAGCTCTACGACATTCGAGATCTCGAGCACGCCCCCATTCAAGTCGGACAATAATAGGCTGGCGGATGACAGCGTTGAGTTATGCCTGAGCAACAAGACTCAACATGAGTTCCTCGTGCAAGCCGTGGATGCCGTCTTATCGCCATACTCTACCACCAAGAGGGGTTGTGTCGAGCTCAATGATCTCGGAAGATCTTCAGGTTTCGGCGTATCGCTCTCTCCCTCCACGATACCGTGCACACCAGAAGCTGATCTTGAATATGGTCTTGTTCGAAAGGAGACGTCACTTGACATCGCCACAGCCATGTCACTCTACGCACTTCCGCAATATATGCCCTCGGCCGCAGCAGAGAAAGCCATGATCTACAGCACTTTTGTCGACACATACATGCCAAAGCACAGACCCGAGCGTGATGCTCACTTCTCTTTCCTCGAACATCTCATCACAAGTCCTGGATTACGGCCCGAGGTCAGCCAGGCACTGGATGCTTTGTGTTTGGTACAAGTAGGCAGTATCTACCACGACCAAACACTGCTGAAGCAGTCGGTACGAATGTACGCCAAAGCACTGGCAGGCCTTGTCCGGACTCTCGGCAACAGTGATACTTCTACGTTCGTGACGGATGACTATGTACTAGCCACAGTGACACTGTTGGCTTCGTGCGAGTTTTTCGACGAGATCTCACAAATGGGCGAAGGATGGACCAAACATCTTCGAGGCGCGCAACAGCTGCTCAAGGCCCGCGGAGCGATGAGTATCAAGACTAAAATGAGTCTGATGCTGTACAGTAACATGCGGCACGGAGGGCTCAGCCATGCATTGATCGCGAGGAAAGGCACGTTCCTAGGCCAACCAGAATGGAGAGCAATTGCCTGGAGAGACGAGATCTGCGACGCAAGTACTCCTTTCTATGAGTATGCACTGCAAGTCCCAGGTCTACTGGAAAGGTGGGACGACTACGCCCAGGTCGCTGAAAAGAGTGTTGAGGCGCTCGATGCGTTCTTGGCTGAGGCCAGTGTGCTGGAACGAGGGCTGCGATTATGGTTCGAAGATTTTCGACTTCAAGCTAAAAGCTCCGGGAGGTCTCTCTATACTCTGACCCATATTGAGGAATTCCAACCTTTCTGCAAGCTTATCAGCGATCGAACTTTGGACAAGGCCTTCTTATTTTCGAGCTTCATGGTCGCGTATCTGGCATCGGTTTACTGGGATGTGATGCACTTCCTGCGTACGACGATCAAGGCAATGCATCATGCTCGATACCAGGCAAAGCCGGACTGGTTCCCTTCAGCAGAGGAAGCAGTCACACAAGATGAATTGATGGAATACGTGATGAATATGATGCGATGTTTCCCCTTCTTTTGCGAGCCAACGAGTTCTTCGACTGGACAAATTGGGATCTTCTTGCCTTTGCGTACAGCGGCTTTCTACTGCTTGGAGCATGGGCACTGGAATTTGCTAAAATGGCTCGGTGCCGTGCGAGATGGCATCTTTACGAAAGGTATGAGACCACCGAGTGTTCGCGAGAGTCGACCAGCGAACACGACGAACATCGCTATCAGTATAAGGCCTGGTGCTCCGGCGATCAAGGATGGTGTTGCGTACAATGTTGCTTCGAGGGGGACGGAGGTCAATTATGGAAACATGATGCAGAAATGAGTATCTACGAAACTTAGTGAGCACACGTGGCTGGGTTGCAGAATGTTATGAGCATTGGAGAGAGATTCTGAATATGATGGCATTACAGACCAAGAAGCTCCAGCTCGCAGCGATCGCTCGATTCTGTGTCTGATGAACTCCAGATACATGAGATTGGTGATCAACAGCCTGGTGATTTCCTCGCTACTTCAATGATGGTGGCCACTGAAATTCGATGTTTGGAAACACTTGCCAAGCACCGACTTTGAACAACTGCTTATTATTTAACGACCAATCCTCGTGGCATCCAAAGATAAGTCGTGTCATTGTGCAAGTATCCTCACGTCCTTCGTTGTATGTGTCCGATAATTAAGGAGCACACGACACAGTGACAGTGGCATCTGCACTTGCCTGTCGGGGTTAAGTTTTTGCGGTCCGCCGTCCCGGCTACATTTTGCATCACACTCGCCGTCGCTGTGACTCTTTGGCGGCGTCTAAGTTGCTGGTGCACGAACAATACTTCCAGCTCCGCAACGCCATTCTTTCACAAAGAACATCTGCGACTACGCTCATTCGACTCGGGAAACGCGAAAATGGCGACGAACGGCGATTACCCCTCAGACGACGAGTCTCCGCCGCAATCACCCGCACAAAAGCCACAGGACACTGGTGATAATGGCGATGTCGAGGCTGTGAGGCCAAAAGGTCCTGCAGCGGCTCCTAGATCTGCTCTGAAGAAGACAAATCAAGCCGCAGCGGCGGCAGCAGCACGACCACCACTGCCCGAGCAGCCAGATCCGAAAGACCTTGATGTTTCATCACTCACACCTTTGTCGCCAGAGATCATCGCACGACAGGCGACTATCAACATCGGCACAATTGGGCATGTGGCTCACGGAAAGAGTACGGTGGTGAAGGCGATATCTGGTGTGCAGACTGTGCGATTCAAGAATGAGCTGGAGCGAAATATCACAATCAAGTTGGGATACGCAAATGCCAAAATCTACAAGTGCGACAACGAGGAGTGCCCGCGACCCACCTGCTACAGAAGTTACAAGAGCGAGAAGGAGGTTGATCCGCCTTGCGAGAGGTCTGGATGTGATGGCACATACAGATTACTACGACACGTTTCGTAAGTCATACGTTTCGATGAAGGTAGTGGGATACTGACTCTTGCAGATTCGTCGATTGCCCTGGGCACGATATTCTGATGAGCACCATGTTGTCAGGCGCCGCAGTCATGGACGCTGCACTTCTGCTGATTGCAGGAAACGAAACCTGCCCACAGCCCCAAACATCAGAGCATCTTGCTGCGATCGAAATCATGAAATTGCAGCACATCATCATCTTGCAAAACAAGGTCGATTTGATGCGCGAAGAGGCAGCATCCCAGCACTACGAGTCGATCAAGAAGTTCATCCGCGGCACAGTAGCAGATGACTCGCCCATCATCCCGATCTCTGCCCAGCTGAAGTTCAACATCGACGCCATCAACGAGATGCTGGTGTCTCGAATTCCTGTGCCCATCCGAAACTTCCAGGACGACCCTCACCTCATTGTCATTCGATCCTTCGACGTCAACAAGCCCGGTTCGGAAATTGACGAGCTGCAAGGAGGTGTTGCTGGTGGTTCTATCTTGACTGGTATCTTGAAGCTCGGAGACGAGATCGAGATTAGGCCAGGTATCGTGTCGAGGGACGAGGCCGGCAAGATTCAGTGCAAGCCAATCTTCTCTCGCGTCATGGCGCTGCAAGCCGAGCAGAACAGTCTCAAGTTTGCCGTTCCAGGTGGCCTGATTGGTGTTGGAACACGCATCGACCCTACACTCTGCCGTGCCGATCGTCTCGTCGGTTTCGTGCTTGGACTGAAAGGCAAACTCCCAAAGATCTTCACAGAGTTGGAGGTCAACTACTTCTTGCTCCGCCGCCTGCTTGGTGTCAAGACTGCGGACGGAAAGCAAGCCAAGGTGGCCAAGCTCACAAAGAATGAAGTGCTGATGGTGAATGTGGGATCTACCGCTACTGGCGCTAAGGTCGTTGCAGTGAAGAACGATGTAGCCAAGCTACAACTCACATCACCATGCTGCACAGCCATCAACGAGAAGGTGGCGCTGTCGAGACGTATTGAAAAGCATTGGCGGTTGATCGGTTGGGCAACAATCCTGAACGGAGACACGCTGGACCCTCAGAGTGCTTAAGCCTATTCTGACAATGGAGGCGGAGTAATGCCGGGGCATCTTCTGTTGCGATACGACAAGCTGTGCTTTTGGAGCGTTCAATCGGTGTTCAAAATGACTGCATGGGGCAGGGACATGAATTGGGCGTGAGCGCCTGGAGACAGATGATAGAGAATGAACACGAAGTCAAACACAGCTTGTTATCGTTGCTTTACCTGGTTGGAACGGTAGATTCAGGGGAGAGAGAGGGGCGGAGACTGGCCTTGACATGTTCATGAAATTGCACGGCCCTAGCTCGATCATTCTTGAGTGAATGTGTCGCTGTCGTGCTTGCATGTGAAGATGGCGGGGCAAGGCGAGACCGCGGGGTGTTCTTTCCGATGCGAGATTAGCTCCAACCTTAAAGCTAAATAGTTGCGCTACCACACCGACGGTTTTGCATTTCATGACACGAATTGACACCTGCACACCAGTTGACAAGTCTGCGAACCATTGCCTAGTATTGGCCGATTTATTCGAGAAGATTGTGCCCTGAAAAGACCACTTCGAACCCACATCCGAGCCCGCGAGTCACAGTTCGCGATCGGGACACGAATACCACTTCGGACACGAATTCTTTAAGCCGAGGGGCAGCGTAGAAAAGAGCCATTGAAGGCCGCAAAGAGACTTGAAGGAGTTCAGACAGGCAGAGCGAGTCAAGACACACAGAAGACATCATGGCAGCAGCAGCGGCATCAGTTGTGCCAGCATTGGACCAGAGGCCCATCAAGAACACCATTTGTTTGTTCGATGTCGATGGCACCCTCACTCCAGCCCGTCGCGTACGTGAACGTGAACATCTCTTCTCATAACTACTGCGAGAATGGACAAGTCAAGCGCACAGCTTGTACTCAGCGACGCCAGATACACAAGCTAATTTTCTGCTAAACAGACCGTCTCCCCAGAGATGCTCCAGCTCCTCTCCGCACTCCGTCACAAAGTAGCAATTGGCTTCGTCGGAGGCTCCGATCTCGCCAAACAGCAAGAGCAGCTCGGCACAGCGTCGATCCCCGTCACCTCACTGTTCGACTTTTGCTTCGCTGAGAACGGCTTGACTGCCTACCGCATGGGCCAGCCCCTCGCCTCGCACAGCTTCATCAAGTGGATTGGAGAGGAACAGTACAAGAAGCTCGTCAGATACATTCTGCACTACATCGCAGACTTGGACATTCCAGTCAAGAGAGGTACTTTCATCGAGTTCCGTAATGGCATGATCAACGTCAGCCCAGTGGGCAGAAACGCGAGCGTGCAAGAGCGAAATGATTATGAGAAGTTTGATTTGGAGCATGGAATCAGAAAGACATTTGTCGAGAGTCTCAAGAAGGAATTCCCAGATCTTGGATTGACGTGAGTTCACCTACAATCCCTCTCAGCGTGAGCTTCACACAACTGACACGAATTCCAGCTACTCCATCGGCGGCCAAATCTCTTTCGATGTCTTCCCCAAGGGCTGGGACAAGACCTACTGTCTGCAGCACGTCGAGAATGAGAAGAACTTGCCCGGTGGTGTTGAGTACTCCACCATCCACTTCTTCGGCGACAAGACGTACCAGGGCGGCAACGACTACGAAATTTACGAGGATCCAAGAACTGTGGGACACAGCGTCAAGAACCCCGATGAGACCGCTGCTGAGCTCAAGAAGCTTTTCGACTTGTAGATCACATACTCATCGAACTGGTCACATGTTTCCTGCTGGACTGAAAGCGTGTTGATTGCGTTTGGGCAGTGTGGTAGATACAACATAGACTCGCGCAAAAAGTTTTACGATTTTCATGCCCTGATTTGCGAACACTGTTTCCAATCTCGTCGGACTCTCATTGCTGATGCCTTCTTGGGATAATTCTTGGGCAACGAAAACATAGAAGTGCAACAGATATCTTTTCTATCACGGAACAAGAAAAAGGGTAACGTATCCCTCTTGATCCAAACTACCTCCGGCAAGCTCCGCGCAAACTGTCGCTGGCGAAGCCCGCTCTGTGAAAGAAGCTCTCTATACTTTTATGCCGCATCCATCGAAGATACCCTGCAGCATATGGTGAAGGAACTGAACTCTCAAAAGCAAAAGCAGACAAGAAAACCAGCGAGGCAGGATCAATCAACTTCAATCCTCCATCTCCTCGTCCTCATCCTCGCTCCCATCTTCATCAGCATCAACTTCGGCCAAGAGGTCCCTCTCCTCTTCATCGAGCTCCGCTCCGCCATCTTCATCATCAGGCTCAGGATCGATGTCCATTTTCTGACCATGCGTGCTACCATCTCTCCTCACACCAGCAGATCTCCTCCTCCCGGTCTCAGACTTTTCTCGTTTGATCGAAGGTCTTGGCGGTCTTGATCCAGTCTCGTTGGTACGATGCACTCCATTACTGACAGAAGTACTATTCTGCCGACTCGGTGCCGCAGGCCGTCGATACTGCGCTGTCCCATTCTTCTCGCGCTCAAGCCTCTTTGCCATCGAAGCACCCGGAAGAGCTTGCTCCCAGCGATCAAGTCGTCTACTACACTTCCTGAGACTAGAAGCGAGCGACTTGGTCTCCTCTCCAACATCAGCAGGCTCTTGGTGCGGGATCTTGACGAATCCGGCGTATAAGACTCTAGGGCGTCGCCAGGAATCAACGTCGCCGAAGGGATCATCGATTGTCGCCCCACGATGCCAGTCGTCGTTCTTCTCTGCTCGATCTCTGGCCTTGCGGATCTTGATTGCCTCTTCTTCGGAGTCGTAGTCGGGTGGCAAGTATTTTAGGCGTTTCCAAGCACGTATGATTGGACTCTCTGCTTCTCGCTTGTCCCGCGCTCTCTCGTGAGCTTTTCGTATTCGCCGGTCTAGAGTGTAGTCTATCTGCATCTTCCTGTGATTGATGACAGCGGATTGGTGTTGCGTAATACCTCTATGTCGTTTTTGCGCCTGGTATGAAGGTGTTGGAATATGGGTGTTCGGATTGGTAAATGATAGTGTCTGCCCTCCAGGGGACATTCCCGCCTTACTCGAATTCGCGTATGCGAAAGATCCGCCGTGTGCTTGTACGGGACCATTTGGGCCATTGTTGACGAACTGCACTTGGCCTCCTGTGTTTGGCAGTAGTGGCACATGTTGGCCAGAAGCGGCGCCAGCAGCTGTTGCGTTAGCATCTTTGCCAGCTTTATTTCTTCTCCAGTTGCCCCTGCCAGGTCCCTTCTTGACGGGTGCCGCAGCCGGAGGATGGGAAGGCGATGGATCGGGGCCAACATCATCACTATTGAGGAGGTTTCCGATACCCATGCCACTCAACGGTTTGTTGACTGCTTGGAACCCACGAGCAGCCGGCGAAGGAGACCTAGTGTAGTCGCTAGCCGTCTCGTGGTGCAAAGCAGATCGTCCGACTGATGTAGCTATCGACACGTTAGCTCGCCGCATCTAGGTATTGCACAATGGTGGACTCACCTCCTGCCATCCGGTGGAAGCCAGCATCAGATCCCTCGTCATCGCTGGGCGCCGGATTGTGTCCAGTAGTCAAACCCTTCTCCTTGCGAGCACGCTTAAGTGCCGTCATGGCCGGACTAGGCTCGCTGGCCAGTATTGCGATGCGCTCTTTCCGCTTGACCTCACCAAAGTGTTTCTCACTTTCCGTATCGACATTTTCTTGTTCCGCTTGCTCATCTGTCAAGCCGACCAAAGTAGGCACCTTCAGAGGTAAAGCATCTGTTCCTTCCTCGCCCTCGCCGTATGTACCTTGGCCAAATGGGTTGTTGCGGGTAGCCTCAATACTGAAATCGCTCTCGAGGTACCACCAAACCAGCCACAGAAAGGCCTTTGCTCTGCTTTCGCTGCTCAAAGTCGGCCGCATGACGAGGTCGAAGAAATCTCGCGGAGGAGGAAAGTGGACTTCGCTGATCTTGGGGGCGTACTGGCTCATCACGAAGATAAGATTGACGGGATTCGTTCGGGGGATGGACGCGTTCTTGATCTCATCCATTGTGCTCGGTTGTGGCTCGTCCTCTGTAGCGCCTTTAAGGATCGATTTCAGTCGCGGCGCATCTTGGAGCTGCTTGTAGGCATTCGGGTCCTGGTCAGCTTGCAGCGCCGGGATTGAGTGATATGTACGGAGTTGAGCGCGCATTTCTGGGAAGACTGTCACGGGTTAGCTGAAGTATTCCAAGTAATATGCTGGTCCCGGCCTACAATTCAATGTGGTGTTCATGCGTCCCACGTTGACCAACAAACACACCATGGCCATGCTGATCGCGCCTGCTTGATCCTGCAACAGCTTCTCCTTGAGAATCTTGCTGCACTTGCTGCTCTTGGCCATGGCATCGATGTAGATGTCGGCAAAGGTGTGACCTTTCGAGCCATCGCTGTATTTGGTGAAGCATGGCGTCTTGTCGTCGAAGACCAGCTTGAGAAAGTCGTACTGAATGTCCTTCCGCCACAGTGGGATTCCATCTTCCTTCTTCAGGTGGCGTATCTTGTTCCCGCTGTACACAGAACTCGTAGCGCCGCTCTTGTTGTGTCGTACGGACGTGGTAGTCGACGTGTACATGGGCTCGTCCTTATCGTTGTCGCCATGATGGGCGCCGGTGTCTTTGGGCGTTGCGACGGGGTCGTCATCGTCGAGCTGGTCTGCCTTGCGCTTGGCTGGCATGGGCGTTGACGCGGCCGCTGTCTCTGTCGGCGGAGGGAGAGGCAGCGGAGGTTGTATGGGAGGAGCTGTTGTCGCTGCTGTGGGAGCGGAGGGAGCAGTGGCAGCAGCAGGCTTTGGCTCTGGATCAGGCTCCTGCGGCGCCATGATGCTGGACAGATCCATGGCGGGCGGTGGTCGGTGGTTTCAGGTGCTGACACAGGCGCAAAAGGCTGATACGGCAGCTACGGTATCGCATGCGGCCGCACTCGAGTGTGCTGTATCATCGTGCTCGATCAGATGTTGGCGACGGAGTGTTGGTGGAGAGGGTGAGCATGCGCGCGCGAGAATGAATTGGTGATGGGGGCAGGGAGCGAGCGAATTGGGCGATGATCCGTAGCTCGAGCACGCAGCAGCAAGCACAGCGAGCAAGCCTCGTCCGCTGCTACCGAAAGCTGCCCAGCTGTACAAAGTCTATACACTTCCCGTTCCGATGCGACAAACGCCAGCCAATATACTGTCCGCATCACCACCCATTTCTCGGTCTCTGCTGCTACACCAATACGTCGGCAGTCTGCTGACACTCTTGGCGCACCAACTGATCCCGCAATGCGTTGTCTTCACTTGACTTGATCATGCACTGAGCTGCTGGTTGGAGGTGGAGGTGACCAGAGTGACGCACCTGCAAACCATTGGCGGACGAGCTTGGCGCCGGCGGCCTGAGCTGTGAGACAAGCATGCGAGTGTGGGAATTTGCACTCCAATCACTTCGCTCGCGCGTCACAGATCATCGCAGCTCGCCAGCCGTGCAACCATACTGCTCCCGGTGACTACACTCCTGCGAGCTGGCTGCGTGAGGCAAATCTGCTCCCGGAAGCCTCCCCAGAACATTCACCTCCTCTGGGGCTGCTTCGTCCACGGCAAGCACAATCTTGGCCGCTTCAGGCCCTCGACAGCCATGCCGGCCTCCAAGAAGATGGAGCCGCGCTTCAAGACGATCCAGAAGTTCAGTCTTGACTATGCTCCCGTCAGCATCACACAGTATGAATCCCCCCGAACGGGCATGCGAATAGCTGTTGTGGATCGAGCTGGGCCCAAGGTCGAAGGTGAATTCGCTCTTGCCACCGAGATCAATGATGACTCGGGCTCACCGCATACCCTTGAACACTTGGTGTTCATGGGCTCCAAGACGTACAAGTATACGGGCCTGCTTGACCGATTGTCGTCAAGAGCCTTTTCCACCACGAACGCGGGCACCGCTACAGACTACACATCCTATTCCCTCAAGACGGCTGGCTGGGGAGGTTTTGCACAGATTCTGCCTGTGTATCTCGAGCACTTGATCGTGCCTACGTTGACTGATGCAGGATGCTACACCGAAGTGCATCACATCGACGGCACAGGCCACGACGCCGGTGTCGTCTACTCTGAAATGCAAGCTCGTGAAAACACCTCATATGATCTGATGGAGCTTCAGCGAAGACGGCTCCTCTATCCAGAAGGTAATGGCTTCCGTTCGGAGACGGGTGGCACAACGCCGGAATTACGACGTCTCACAGCCGACCGCATACGAGCATACCATAAGGAGATGTACCAGCCCAAGAACCTGAGGGTGATTATAACAGGCGACATCGATCACGATGAGTTGCTGCAGATCTTGGACGACTTTGAGACATCGATCGTGGACGATGTTCCCACACTTGACGCTCCGTTCCGCAGACCTTGGGTTGATTCTAAGCCAACTCCAAAATTGACCGAAACCAAGGTGGATACTATCAAGTTTCCTGAGGAAGACGAGTCGATGGGTGAAATCACTATAGGTTACCTGGGACCGAGCTGTGATGACGCTGTTGCGAATGCAGCCCTCTCCGTGCTGATGACATATCTCGCCAACTCCCCGATCAGTGTGCTCGAGAATACTCTCGTGGAGCGCGAGCAATTGTGCAGTGGTGTCTACTTCGAAGTGGAGACAAGGCCTGATGTTGTAATTTGGTTCGATTTGACCTCAGTGGAAACCGGACGACTACGCGAAGTATATCAGCGCTTCGTCGAGGTCATAAAGGAGACAGTAGCGAAGCCGCTAGACATGACATATCTACAAGACTGCTTGAAGCGGGAGCGAAGGCGCATCACTGAACAGGCCGAGAATGCTGAAGACTTCTTTACTCAGCCAATCATTGAGGACCACTGTTTCAGCGCGCGGGATGGGCGATTCCTGAAGGATTTGGAGAACATGAATGAGCTTGACGAGATTGCCAAGTGGTCGGAAAAGCAGTGGAGAGACTTCCTCAAGAAGTACTTCGTGGACGCGCATCATGTTTGTGTGCTCGGACAACCTTCTCACGAGCTTCAAAAGCAGCTAGCGGATGGAGAAAAAGCTCGAGTGAAGGCACAGCAAGAGAAGCTTGGAGAGGAGGGACTCAAGCAGCTGGCCGAGAAGCTTGAGCAGGCCAAAGCTGAGAATGGCAAATCCATTCCCGATTCTATGCTCGAGCAGTTCCCGCAGCCGAGCGCAGAATCTGTCAACTTCATCAGCACTGGAACTGCCCGTTCCGGTCTCGCTCGTCAGATGGGGTCTGGCGACAAGGATGCACAAGCAATCATTGATCGCGCTGATGATGGGTCGTCAACATTCATTCATTTTGAGCACATTCCTTCGAATTTCGTTCGAATCAAGGTGTATTTCGGCACAGCAAGTGTGCCAGACGAGCTCCGACCCATACTGAGCCTCTACATCACGAACTTCTTCACCACTCCGGTCACAATAGACGGCAAACGAATCGAGTTTGAGGATCTAGTTTCGGACCTGGAGAAGTTCACCACAGCTTACTGGATGGATTCCAGCTCAAGCGGGAGACAGCAGATGCTTGGCCTCACGATGATGACAGAACCGGCGACTTATCAGCAGGCCATCTCTCGTATACGGACTGTCTTCTTCGATGCCATCCACGACCCAGTGCGACTTCACGCGACTTTGACGAAGCTCTTGGCCGATCTACCTAGCGAAAAGCGTGCTGGCGATAGCATGGCTTGGGCAGTGAACAGTATGATCCACTCCAATCGGTCTGCGAATCGACGTGCTACATCGGCGCTCACCAAGACATTGTACCTCAAGCGCTTGAGGAAGCTGCTAAAGACCGACGAGAAAGCAGTCATTGCCAAGCTCGAACAGCTCTGCTCGGCACTTCACAGACCAGAGAACTTCCGCGTGTACGTGGCTGCGGACTTGAATAAACTTGAGAACCCTGTCACGGCATGGAAAGCGCTCACAGATGGCCTCGACACATCAAAACCTCTCGAGCCCCTTGACGATTCGTCCAAGACGCTCTCCGAAGTCAGCAAGAATCCTGGATCAGCAGCATATATCGTTTCGATTGCAGCAATCGATAGCTCGTACATTGTGCTCACATCCAAAGGCCCTTCAACCTATTCCGAACCGGATCTCCCAGCACTGATGGTCGCCATTGCTTTCCTACGCGCAGTCGAAGGCCCTCTTTGGACCTCCATCCGCGGTACAGGTCTTGCATACGGTGCCACTATCCGCCGTACCATCGAACTCGGCAAGCTCTATTTCTGGATCGATCGCTCACCTGATTGCTATAAAGCTTTCGTCGCTGGCAAAGATGAAATCGAAGGCTATGCAAACGGCACCAAAGAGCTCAAGAAGCTTGCTATCGAAAGCGCGGTTGGGGAGATTGTCTATGAAATGGCAGAAGAGGCACCAACTATGGGCGTGGCTGCTGACGAGAGCTTCTCTGGACAGGTTCTGAGAGGCGTGTCGAAGACGTGGTCGAAAGACATGCTGAAGAAGATCCAAGCGGTGTCCGTGGAAGAAGTGCGAGAGTCGATCCGGAAATGGTTGCTGCCACTTTTCGATCCCAAGACTGCGAATATGGTTGTTACTTGCGCGACAAGTATGAAGGAGAAGATGGAGGAAAATTTCTCGAAGGCCGGATTCCAGGTTCAGGTGAAGGAGTTGTCATTCTTTGAGGACGACTACGGACTTGAAGCTCCTGAGGGCGATGATGACGACGACGACGAGGACGAGGATGATGACGATGATGAAGATGACGACGACGAAAGCGAAGAAGGCGACGACTGATGAGAAACAGAGATCATGAGCACTGTGTGTTTCTCTTGCTGGGCGGACAGGTTGCGCTTACGATAAGGCACTCGCGTCCAGAACGAAATCGTGTCTGCCTGTATGAAATGGGGAGCATGTCTATACTCAATTACTAGCGGCTAGGTGAGCGCTCATCGCTGCACGAACGATGAACACACGTGGCTACATGCAATGTAGCGCCAATGTGAGTCCAACACTAGGCTACTACAAGGTCCACGTGTAATATGGTCCCAACTGCAAGTCCACTCTCCATAGGATTATTGATTGCGCGTCCGGCCACGTACGTTCGAGTTACATAGCCAATTTGCCGCATGCCAGTGACAGAAAGGCAATCAAGCAAAGGGTACCTCGCCATTTAATTGCCAACAAGAAATACAACAATAACACATGTCGTAAATTGTCTCATATCGAAAAGTGTGGATTGCGCGGTCACTCCGAACATGTGAGGCCAGAAAGTAGGCCGCGCCGATTTGGGAAGGATGCTACCTGCATGATGCAGTGCTTGCCGTGCGACCCGCACGCTTCAGCCCTACAGCGCAAGTCTCCAAGCTAGACGGGCTGACAGGTTACAGGTCGCAGGTACCAGTCTACCAGTGCACTGTGGCGCAACCTTTGGATTTCGTGCATGTGATTTGCATAGTGTTTGTGATACGCGGAGTTTGGATGGAATGGGGAAAGTGGTCAGAATGGTGGGTTCGCTACGTGAGTGCATTGTTAGAGTGTTTGGTACTTTGCGCGACTTTGTACTTCTGACTACTCACGACAAGAGGAAGCAGGTTGTGAGTACATTGCATGCCCGTGGCTCGGCGCAAGACGGGGGACAGGACGTGTGAGGCAAGCGTGGCAGGATCTTGTGACCTGGTGCACTCTCTGCGCGACCCGATGCTGTGGTCTCGCTAAATTGAGCGACGCCGGTGTCCGATTTCGAGATTGATGTGGGACGTGGGCTCGTGTTGGTTGTTTCTCCAGATTGCAATCAATGGCACAGAGGTCTATTTCGGTTCGTGTGCGGTTTCGAATGCAATTTGGTCCCGCCAGGACTTGGAGCGCACAGTCGCAGTATGGTGAGCCACAGCTTCGGAAGTCACGATCCTGAAGGAGGTGGCCTGTTGAGGCGTATTCGGCTCCTCTTGTGCTGGCCAGAGGAATTGCGGCTACCTCGTGCTGGTCTCCAGGGCTTAGCGGATATATGGCGACAGTAGTGCCATCTCATCGATTGGTTCACAAATGTCTGCATGGGCGCTTTCGCGTGCCCAGACAAAGAGACAGGGCAATGTGATTTCACCTGGAAGAATCAGGCCCGGGCACGGCCACTTCCTGAGGATCTTATTCGAGGTATGATGCTAGAGCATTGCTCACATTGCCATCTTGGAGATGCAAATTAGTGGCAGTCATGGCCCTGCGCCTCATCTGGAGTCCCCACTTGGTGAACTATCGCAGACAAGCGGATGTTGGAGTTCATGCTGCGTTCTCGTATCGCTTTATTCCCGTCAATGCTCGAGCAACATCGAGCCAACTGGTCTGTTGGATCTTCCGCCTCATGCATTGCCGACAGCAGCTGGGCCAGCGTGTATCCAATAATGCGAGCTGAGATGGCGCAGGTACGGGCGGAGAGGTGGTGTTCAGCTTCGGCAATCGGCTCTGCGAGGTGAGGTCAGCAAAAGTCCGAGCGCCATCCTTCTTCCTTATGCGCACTGGAAGGCCACGAAACAGTCATCGTCCTTTCATGCTGCTACATGTCTACACGTCTCTCTGCTGCGCATTGCGCTCGAGCGGCATTGCGGCAGCGTGCAGCGGAGCGCACGATCACGCGTGCGGCATGACTGCACAATCGGCCTGCACGACGACCTCCCCGATCCTCGCCGTACCCATTCCCAGGCACCCTTTCTGCCTGGGCTGCTGCCTTATCCTCGCCGCCCATATTCACTTGGACGCTTGGTCCCTTCCGCGCCGCTGACTGGCCTGCTCCAGATGACACTCGGTGTCTGAACCTAGCTACTGGTCATTCACCCACTTGCTAGCGGCCTGTGCTGTGCCGCCCGTTCTTCCACTTCGATGCCTACGGAATCCTTCACTACATCCCTTCCGGCTAGGTCTGGCATGTCTGGGTCTTTGCCACCACGGCCACCAACAAATGAAGCATAAGGTCATCGTAACGATGAGAGACATTTGGATGTCCTGCCCTGTGTGACTGTCGTTGGCTCCACAAGTAGGAAGGCAGCATGTCTTTCTTCAGACCTGTGACTCGGTGCTCCGCCCATTGCTACTGGCGCCCTACTGAGGCCGCTGGGGGCACGGAGTCAGAGCACTGCCTGCTAAGGCAGAAGAGCACATTGGCCAATGGGACACTCTCTTCTCAGTCCTCAAAGTATATTGATCTCTCCAATGCCTGCTGACTTCCCATCTCACCTCGAAATTACTATCATAGCACACCACAACCAAGCCAACTTCACTTCAACGCCGATATATCTCAGTCTACAGACAAGAACAACTCCGAGTGCCACCCACGACAACCCATCAAGACTGGCACACCTTCAGCAGCATCCAGATTGACATCAATATCATGTACAACCTGGACACAGAGCGAACAATCTTCAACCTACCGAACAGCTTTATGGTTGTAGACCCGAACCCTCGAGACCCTCCGAACAGCAACCGCTTCGCCGGATTTGAGACTCAGTTCCGTCGAGACAGCGCCAGCTTCTACACAATGGCGTCCCAGAGCCGAGCAAACCGATCCGCTGGCGGACGAAGAGATCCTCAACCGCGAGACCCTCCAAACAGCCGGCGGGGGATCATTAAGCAACGTGGACGAGGAGCACCTCAACCTCGCGATCCACCAAATAGCCGTCGCTGAGCAGCAAGTTAGTGCTGCTGAGAGTGACGGCTGGACCGCTGGAAAGCACTCTCGACACCTCTTATATGGTGGACCAGACGGCTGCCTGGTTGTTGCAGATGACCAAATTAGGCGTCCGACACCAATTAAACACATCACCGGTCGCTGAGAGGAAGGCTCTCGTGGCTCAAATCCTCTCCGGTGGCGGGAAGACTCATCATTCTACCGAGCGTCGGCATTTCACTACGCAGATGCAACTCTGAAGTCCTCTGGCAGGACTTCGTTACTCATTCACAACACACGGCATTCAAGGCGGCGTTGGAACACAGGATTGTCTCACGACTCATCGACATTATTGGTTTGAAGGCATAGCGCTGGGAAATTTTGGACTTGACTGCAATGTTTCAAGCGTTATGGCAAACCTGCAGAGGGATCATTACTGAGTGAGGACCATTTTTAGTCCGCTGCATTACGAAGGAGTTTTGAGAATAGACAGGCCAATTCTCACATCAAGTGCTGAGGGGGAAACACAATGGCAGGTGGCTCATCGGCCATTCACCGAAGGATTTCATGACTGTGCTTTCTGAAATAGATTATTAGTTATCTGCATGATCGTTCACACGACACGAAATCGAGCGTTTCTACTGCAATTTTCCGATCTTCACATTCACAACTTTGGTACTGAGTCACAGAAAGAGCATTCTAGCATACTGAAGTCGATGCTGCGCCGCCAACAGCAGCAGCAGCAGCAGCAGTACGAGATGACTCGATCTGCAATCCTGCAGGGACAGTCAGTGGTCAAATCAGTCACAAGCACACCATGCGGCCGCCAACCGCGAAAGCATAATCCTTCGAAACTCGCACTTCCAGTCTCTTGTCGTTCGCCACCAGTGCTGCTGTGCGCTCGCACCAACTAGTCCACAAGTTGCAAACTACTGTTGAACTTGCACTGAGCAGTGAGAGAGGGCGGCGGGTCGAGAGATGACGACAGGGGTTGTGCTTCCAGCAAGTGAAGTCGCCCGGATTTGAGGCCGCCGTGGATTGGTGCCTGCAGCTGCAGGTGCTGTTCGGGTCATCAGATTCGCCGGTGAGGCCGCTTTCGCGGCCGCCGCACCGCGTATTGTTCCGACGCTCTTACACTTTGGCGAAGGATGAGGTGACACAGGTAGGGTCTCGGACAAGGATTGCGGCGCAGACATGAGAGACAGGATATTGATACACAGAGACGAACTGAAATGGCAAAAGGTAGAGAATTTGGTGTCGCGTGTACAAAGTACTGTTACTGTGTTATCTGTACCTGAGAGGATTTCTTTGGTGCAGGGCTATGCTACAGGTTCTTGCCTTCGTCTTTGCGTTGATGCGGACAGCTAGAAATCGCTGGTCAGTGGCGGGAACAAAAGTCCCTTCTCGCCTTTGCCGATTTGATGAAATGGGACACCGAAGTTGTCGTCTTTTCCGACTTGACACCATTCCCAGCTTCTCCGATCTTCTGCCACGCCTAGCATGTCGAGTTGACGTTTTGAGGCTGTGGGCATGAAGGGTTGAAGCATGATGCCGACGAGCCGCAGAGCCTCGGCGGCCAAGTAGATGCTCCTGTCGATGTCTGCTTCTAGCTCTTCGATGGATGTGCCCGCTTGTCGAAGATCATCGAGCTCTTGGCCTGTGGTGTCGGCCATTGCTGAGCGGAGCTGGGTGACGCGGGTCCAAGGCGATTGGTGCTGCAGCACATTGTTTGTGTCGTAGACGAGTCTCATGATCTCCTGTAAGGCCTTGTTTGGCAAGAGGCGAACCATGGACTCGTCGACTCGTGATGGCACAGCCTGTAACTTGGTGTAAAATTTGGCTGTGGAAGTATCACCCTCTTTCAACAGGAGAGGCTCGGTGGACGCCTCCGGGTGTGCAAAGCGCTTGACTGCGCGTTCGACATCCCATCCTTTACCTCGCATGATCCGCGCCAGGAGATTTCCAAGTCCGCCTTGAAGTCCCTTCTTGTACTTTTCGATAATGAAGGCATTGTCATAATCCGCATCGTCTGCTATGCCGCCTTCGTGGATGAGGTACCAGCGCAATGGATCGATGCCGAAGCGTTCAAGAGCAAAGAAGGGATTGACTCCATTACCGCTGCTCTTGGCCATCTTCTTCTTGCCAAGGGTCCAGTGTGCATGCGTAAGGACTTGTTTGTGAATTGGTAGATCTAGCGCCATGAGGAAGGCAGGCCAATATATGCAGTGGAACCGTACAATGTCCTTGCCCACGACCTGCACGTCCGGCGGAAAGCCAGTAGCAGGTTCTTTGCCGGGTGTGAATGGGTAGCCCACCGCTGTCGCGTAATTGAGTAAAGCATCGAGCCACACGTAGATCGTCTGCGACTCGTCTGTAGGCACTCTCACACCCCACGTCAGCCTCTCTGCAGGGCGTGAGATAGAGAGATCTTCAAGTCCAGCTTTGACCTGATGCACAACGTCGTCCATCCTAGACTTCGGCACAATGTAGTCCGGGTTCTCTTCGTAGAAGCGCAACAGCTTCTCACGAAAATCACCCAATCGAAAATGGTAGTTTGCTTCACTTGTCCATTCGACCTCTTTCCCAGTCTCAATGCTTGCCATAATCTTCCTCCCTGTCTCTGGCTCCACAATGAGATGTACCTGACTAGCAGGATAGAATGTCTCATCAGACACACTATACCAGCCTTCGTGCCTGCTCTCGTACACATGCCCTCGTTCCTCCAGCATCTGCCAAGCATACTCCACGCCCTCCTTGTGCTCCTTGTCCGTAGTCCTGATGAAAATGTCATTGCTGATGCCCACCTGCCCAGCAAGAGTTTTGAACACTTCAGCTCCCTTATCCACGAACTCTTGAGGCTCCATGCCAGCTTTCTGTGCTGCGCGCTGAAGCTTCATGCCATGCTCGTCCGTCCCCGTCAGCAGGATAGCTTTCCTGCCTTTCAACACTTGCCATCTCTTTAGAACGTCCGCTAGTATCATGGTGTACATGTGTCCGACATGAGGAGCGGCATTGACGTAGAATATCGGCGTGGTGACATAGTATGGTTTTTCATCCTGCTTGCCGATCGAGCTCGAGGTCGCGAGGTTGCGGATCCATGGCTGTTGTGAAGCCAGATGGTGCTGACAAGCCCATTGTGGCCGCCATCTTCGGGCTATCAGGGACTGGAGCGGTGTCAATTGCTGCGCGGCAGCATTGAGACGAGAGCGCATGGCGACTGCTGATCATGAAGCTCATTCACGTCTCGCAGAAACGGAAGGAGCTGTCGAGCTTGGAGCTCGGACCTCCGTGCCGAGGCTGCTCTACATTCTCAATGACCAACACATCTTCACGTATCTACTTTCTAGAGAAAGACATATACCTTCTCCGTATTGGAGAGACTGGACTCATCTGTTGTCCCAATTTTTAGATTTTTTAGATTCTTGAAAAATTGAGTAAAATAGCACGAAGCATCAGGCTCGATACTATGCCTCTTCCATCTCTACCAGAAGAACTATATCTCCACATCTTCACATTCGTTGAACCACAAGACCTCTGGCTCTCCACTCGCTTGGTCTCAAAATCCTTCAATCGCATCATCGAATCACATATCAAGATCGATGCGCTTCCGAAATTTGTCATAGGGATAAATTATACCCTTGGATCTGGCACAACTCATCACTGGTGTGCTAGACAACAACCCCGTTCCATTCCTTCGTGCAATAGGTTGACCAAATCAGGTACGACGTCCGAACAAGCGTATACTTATCCTTCAACGCAATCGACAAACATAATCCGCAATATGCTCTCTTCGACAACATGACCGTTCAGCCCGAACCTTTCCACGACCGGGCTATGGAAAAATGGAACCGGATTGCCAATACAGGATTGGGTGCCGAGACGCAGTGGAGGGTGCAGTTGCGGAACGGGAACCCTCGAACTTGTGAGATGCAATTTGTGAAGTTGCCGAGTACGGTGTTGTCGCAGCAGGGGGCGTTTTGCGATTGGAAGGAGCTGCTTACAGCGTACTTTCGAGCATGTATGGCTGCTGAGCCTGTCGCTAAAGGAGTCACGGAGCTGACTACACCAGCCTCATTGCATGCAGCGGCAATAAGCTATGTTCGTGGGGCTGGTTAGTGGATGTCAATTGATGAGCTGCAGTTTGCGGGAAAGAGATGGCCAGTCGAAATGTGGCGCAAGGTGGCAGCTATCATGACATCTCGTGGTATTCGGTACCTAAAACAGGTGCGATCTAACTATATCATATCAACGCGACTGTCGCTCGAGTTTTACGACTGAGAAGCTAAGAGCTCAGCTTGACCATCGACAGCCCCATCCGGCAGAGTGGCGCACTTGTCCTTGAAGAGCTTGTCAGCTTGCTTCCAGACCCGGGCGTTCTTCCAGTCGTTCAGCTGGAGAAGACTGGGCAGGAGAGCCGAGCTGAAAGCTTCGGAGGCTTCTCGCGGAAGGAGCGAAGGCAGATGGTCGATGCTGATCACGCTCAATGGCAGGTCATTGGCCTCTGCTGAGAGCTTGACTGGTACTGTTGGACGATCAAATGTGGTGTTGATGTCGTAGATCGGAATTGGGTTGTTTGGGTTCGTGGTGTCGCAAGACACATCGCAGACGACACTGAGCTTGCGGCTGGGCGAGGCGAGCGAAGCTTGGTCGATGAATGGTGGGATCTTGGCCGAGAGGTAGATGCAGTTGACGAACACGTCCGACTCGATGATCTCCTGGTATGGTCCTGGCTTGGCCTTGGTCTCGTCGATATCCCACTTGATGATATCCTCGACGCCAGCCTTGACCGCGAGGTCCACTGCTCCACGTCCACATCGGCCAAGGGCGCCGATCACGAGCACGCGTGGCAGACGACCGGCTTTGGCCTTGCCGGCTTCGATGTGCTTCTTGACATCATCAATCAACAGGCCTTCATTCTCGTAAGGCGTAACGCCAGGCAGAGGGGAATCTTTGCCGTGTACGAGTTGGTGTGCCCATGTCATGAGGGCGAGAGCAGCTCCTGCGAATCCAGCGTGCTATGTTACAGTCAGCAAAAAGCATTCATGAGAGGCTGGAACAACGCACGTAGCCAAAAGCAGCAACACGTCTTCCGTTCTCATCTTCCAGGAACTCCAGATCAAGTAAGGTACCCTTTCCTCTCGGGAATCTGCCGAGCACCTTGTCCCAACCGCCTTGTCCCTTGTAGCAATGCGCAAATTGAACATGCTGTGACACTTGTCAGTACTGAACATGATTCGAGTGCACCCGTTTCCAGCTTACTGTATGCTTCAATGGAAAATCCTCCTCTGGTAATTCCTTGAGACCAACAATGATGTGCTCCTTGGGTGCTTCAGTCCAAGACCCAGTGGGTACGAGAGTGGCACCAGTTCCCTCGTATTCTTTATCAGGGAAAATGCTCAATGGTGAGCGCTCGACATTGACAGTGTAGCCAGCTTCGACGAGCTTCTTAGCCACAGTCGGTGTGACCGCCGAACGATGCTCCAGAGGCTTCGTTTCAGCGCGCACGTGTAGGACAGTGTCAGACATTTTGATGTTTTAGTGAGAGATTTCTTGTTATGATGTGACGTTGAATGTGTGAAGTCGCGACTTTGGGCGCTATTAAATCCAATGGCAAAGAGTCAACCTGGACTTTTTGGCCAAGCATTGTGATGACTGGAGCGCCGAATCGGGGGTCGCATGCTGGACCCTGATTCGTCACACAAGCTCACACAACAAATGTGGAAGGACATCGCGAACGTGGCAGCATGGCAGGAAGCTGTTACTCGACCTAACAGAATTACTAGGGAAGGTGACGAAACTGAAACGTGAATCTGTCACAACGCCAAAGAGCCCGTTTACTCGCTTTCAATTTATTCTGTATCGACCTATTCATCACTTGCTGTCGAGTCTTGGTCTTCATAAGCTGGTCTGTCTCATTCATCGTACATATCCTCGCGACGCACAGTTCCAGCTGAGGTTCTGTCAAGGTATCGTTTCTTCCAAAGCTCGCTGTATCCTGCCATTCCGGCATCCAACTCCCATTTTACGCTGCGTGAAATCGTTTACTCCACAGTCACCGACTTGGCCAAGTTGCGAGGGAAGTCCACGTTAAGACCCTCAGCAACTGCGAGCCAGTAGGACATGAGTTGAAGTGGGATAACGTTGAGCAGACCTTGCAACACATCGATGGTTTGTGGAACCTCGATCTTGTCGGTCTTCTCGCCTGGGAACTCCTTGTCGCCAGTGTTGCAAATGACGATAGGACGACCCTTGCGGGCAATGACTTGCTGGTAGGCGTTAAGCGACTTGGCGAAGATTGGGTCGCGAGTGAGGATCATCACGATTGGCAGGTTCTCGTCCACGAGCGCCAGAACACCGTGCTTCAGCTCACCAGACATGACGGCTTCGCAGTGAAGGTAGGAGATTTCCTTGATCTTGAGAGCACCTGTTTTGACAGTCAGTATTGTTGTTGAAGACGTTCTGAAAAACTGGGGAACTCGCCCTCGAGTGCTGTGGCGTGCTGAGCACCACGACCAAGCAGAAGCAAAGACTTCTGGTCCTTAAACTTCATGCACAGCTCCTTGATCTGCTGGTCCATCTTCAAAATCTCTCTGAACTGCTCAGAGATCTTGCCAAGACCCTCCATGATCTCCAAACGCCTCTGGACCTTGCTCGCGCGGTCTTCGGACAGCAGCAGTGCAAACATGATCATGCACACGAATTGAGATGTGTAGGCCTTGGTGGAGGCAACACCAATCTCTGGGCCGGCGTTGATGTGTACACCGCAGTGTGTCATGAGGGAAATGCTAGATCCAACGACGTTGACAATACCCACAGTGAGAGCACCACGCTCAAGGCAGTAGCGAAGAGCCATGAGCGAATCTGCAGTCTCACCGGATTGCGAGACAAACACGCAAGTGTCGTCACGGAAGACTGGTGCTTGTCGATCCAAGAAATCAGAGGCAAGCTCGACTGAGATCGGGATCTCAGTCAGCTCCTCGAAAGCTCCACGCACCGCCATGCAGGAGTGGAACGAGGTACCACACGCGATGAATATGAGACGTCTGCAGCGACGGATGGTGCTGATGTATTGCTTCAGGCCACCAAGTGTGACAGTCTTGTCCTCCAAGTTCAAACGACCACGCATGGCGTTGACGACGGATTCTGGCTGCTCGAAAATCTCTTTCTGCATGAAATGGTCGAATCGGCCCTTCATGATCTCTTGGAGCTCAATCTCCAAAGTCTGGATAGCGCGGACATTGCTAGTGCCATCGGTCTTGGACAAGCGGTGGATGTTGAGCTGGCCCTCGTGAATGTGTGCGATATCGTCGTCTTCGAGGTACAGCACCTTCTTGGTGTGCTCGACAATGGCGGCTGGGTCGGAGGAGAGGAAGAACTCGGTTGGCTGAGGAACGCCATCGTCCGAGAGGAAAGCTCGCGATTGGGAGCGGTGGAGGAGGGATTTGTCTGGCGGTGCGAGGAGGCCGGCGCCGAGCATGCCAGGGCTCTTCCTAACAGCCACGTTCTGGCTCGCTTGCTCTGCTGGGAGAACATCACCGCTGTCACCGAACTCAACATCGACAAAGTCGACCTTCATCTTCTTCTGCGTCTTGACACCAACCACGAGCGGCGAACCCTTGCGGGCAGCAACGACCTCGCCAGGGTAGCGCACACTCTTCATGAGCAGACCGAAAGCACCTTGCAGCTCCTTGATCACCGCCTTGCAAAGAGTGGTGAAGTCAATGGTCGGGTGCTGGTCGTAGATGTATTTGGCCAATTTCGCAATGGCCTCTGTGTCTGTCTCGGTCTCGAACTTGAAGCCCTTGCCCTCGAGCAGAGTTTTGAGCTCCTTGTAGTTTGTGATTATGCCATTGTGCACAATAGCGAACTCCCACTTGGGGTCTGATCGGTGAGGATGGCAGTTGACTCTGCTGGGAGGACCGTGGGTGGCCCATCGGGTGTGTGCAATACCAGCGTGGTTGTCAAAGACCTTGGTCAGGTCTGGCTTCTCTGCCTCGATCAACTGCTTCAGCTTGGCGACCTTTCCCACCTCTTTGAATGCGAACACCTCATTGCGCTTGTCGCCATCGATGGCGAGACCGGCGGAGTCGTATCCTCTGTATTCGAGACGAGCGAGACCTGAAACACCACGTGGTCAGCGATCAGCGCTTTCAAGGCGACGGAGGACGGGGGTGCTGCTACACTCACCATTGACGAGTGTGTCGAGGATGAACTTGCGGTCCTTCTCGACCAGGTAGTTGATGTACCCAAAGATTCCGCTGTCAGGAGGTCAGCTCGGCGATCCGGTGGGCGCAGGACAATAGCATCTCGCACTCACCACATGGTTGCGGGTGCAGCTCAAAGAATGCAAGCAGAGTCGTGCGGCGTGATGACAAGTGCTCCCCAAGGCCGATGTGTGGGTGTGTAGGAGGGAGAAGAGCGGTAAAGAAAGAGCGAAGAGTGGTGTTTGGGAGTGGGACAGGACGAGACGAGCTGCTGCTGCCCTGTTTGCCCAATGATGTATTGTTATATGTACGGAGCTTGAGTTCGAAACGCGGGTTTTACTTAAACTTCCACGCAGCTCATCATCAGCCTCAACACTGCTGACGCCCCTATTCTGCGGGTATCAGCGACGACGTCGTCCGATCTATTCTTTGACACTGCATCTATTTTCTCCCATGCTGTCTGCTCGTCTAGTCGCTGGCTACGCAACCAGCAGCTTTCTTTCGTGCCGTTCCCAGCGGATACGCGCCACCTGCCACTAGCCCGGTACCTGCGTCCATTAATAGCATTGGTGGGCCGTCACGCTGCTGCCAAGCCATTTTTTCGCCAGTGTTTTGGCCACCGCAGCAACGCTGTTGTCCTCGTGCCTCGTGTTCACAAGCTGCTCGTTTGTGCCGCTGTCCGTTTCACTAGCCCGTTGCCATCGGCCATAGGAATGGTCTGACGTCGGAGCGAGCAATGTGGACCGGACGCGCATCATGGGCGGTGACGAGGCGGACCTGACTTGTGCCCACCTCACCGCCAACGACGATTGCAGTAATCAGCTCTGGTCTGGCTCGGAACATGTGGCTACAATTCTTTCGATAAAGCTCTATGCTGTGCTGATGGCATGATGGGCCTGGCCAGACTGCTCGCTTAGGGCTGTCTCTAGCGGAGGAATAGGATTAGTGAGCCGCATCTGACAGCGGCGTGAGCGGTATTGTGCGAAGGCTGTGGCTGTGCAACCTCAAAGGGCGGATAGCGTAAGCTCGGGCGTTAGCATCAAGCAGCAGCACTGACTGCACCTACAGTAGATCTGCCAGGTTGTTCTCAACAGCACGAAGGGCGGGCAATGCTTTTCTGCGATGCGATATGCAGGGGACTGTCACGCCCTGCAGACCTTGCATGCAGAAGGTTCGATCAGAACTGCAGCGCAGGAGGATCACCAGACTGCAAACTGCCAACGCTGCTGCATGTCGAACGGAAACAACAGTCGTCAGCGAACTTAGCACTGATGCATTGCTGCAATCTGGCAGACAAACTTCGCACAATGTCAAGAATCTGATGCTCTTGACGAGCACTGGCTGACGCTCGTGGATCCGATGCAAGCTTGCGAATATGTCCAATCTCACAGCCTTGGAAACCGTACTGCGAGCAGTGAACTTGTGCATGGCATTAAATTCTGTAATGCGTCGTGCCGTGGACAGTAAGTCACGAATTTTTCAGGCCTGCATCTGACCTTTCCCCAGCCGATGGCACCTACGCGAACCTTCGGTAGGGCACTATGGAATCTGCTGGTGCTTAGGGGCGAGTCCTTCTTATGCTGGAGCAAGACCTTTGATGCACTATGTCGAAGCGCCTCACGCAGAGCCAGAAGCCTCGATGCGACGAGAACACTCCGAGCGTGATCACTGTGGCAGTTTCTAGAGGATGTTAGTCTCGCACCGTTCTCTGCGACACATGCGAAAGAGGGGCCTCCGGCATTCGAACGGACAAGAATGCTTTGCTATCACTGATCGCACTCGCGAGGTCCGGTTCCAGCGAGAATGCAGGGCGTTGTTTGCTGCGCTGATTGAACGCGTCGCCTGCCGTATCTAAAGGCGAAGTCAAACGGCTGGCTGGCTGGCTGCCTCAGTCGACCAACACGGCGACACACTCACATCACAGCCTCAGCCTGCCTGTTCCGACTACCACTGACTCCACACACGCGAGAGGCATCGCGTTCACACGCCAGCGGATCTTCCACCCGCGCACAACTCGACCTCCCCAAAGTCGACCATTGCTGGACGACCTCCATCACCCACCGCCGCCATGCAGCGGTTCACCGTCGCCATCGTCGACTCCACGACACCTGGCACGGCTCTAACACTTGCTGTGCCATTCGACCCAAGTGCGCCGGTGTCCGCCTTCATTGAAGAGCTTTTCAGACGCGCCGCAAAGCAGGGCCTGGAGCTGGCCCCAGACACTCACATCGCCGCGCTCCATCTTGATAGCGAGACTGGTCAGTATTTCCCTTGCAGTCGTAGCCAGTCACGCACATCCATGACTGACAGCTCACAGGCGCCATCATCGATCCCGGAGACCTCCTCTCCGACGTGGTCACGGACAGCAGAAATGACAAGCTTTTTGCCGTCTTTACCAGACAAGGGGCGCCGCGCTCTGGCTCTGACACTGAGGGCGTTCGTCACCAACTCGAAACTAGCCGACTAGTAAATGGTGACAATGGCCTGGTCATTCGCTTCATCACGCCGAATCTGGCGAAGAAGAGTAGACTTTCGTTGCCAACAGTCACCATTTCCAAGTCAGCCACTGTCAAAGAACTACATGAGCTTGCTGCCCATCAGTTGGGTCTATCGACTGTCTTCGCCAAGGGAAAAATCACCAACGAGTGTAACTGTAATCTTGCCAAGCAGATCTCCGAGGTTTCAGGCCCGGCAAACAAAATATTCATCGTTCATGGCAAGAGCATAGTCGAGCACTTGGACCATCAGGACTCATCCGAAGCTGCAGTCGACATCGCAATCGAAGCGGTCACCAAGGGCGTAGGCTCCGCAGAGAGGAAGATTGTTCGACACGGAGGTGAGCTTCACCTCGGACGCTATTCGCGCCCGCCAGTGGTCGCCATCTGCTCCAAGTCTCGGCACATACCACTTCATGCTCGCGTCGATGACGAGGATACCGCTAGTGAAGATGATCTCAAGCACCACGTTGTTGATCTACACACTTCAGAGCAGCCAATGTCTGCCTCTATTATGAGCTGCGAGCTTCACGAGACGGGATTGTCGCATCTAGCGAAGGACGGCGTGATAGACATATTCGTTGTCAACCGCACAACCGCTGGGACAGCATCTACCACGATTGGACGTAGTGCCATCTTCCGCGCTCGACCGCACTGGGAACCGTCCATCTCACAGAGTCCGCGAGGGGTCGCCATGTTCCTCTCTTCATTGCGCGTGTTCACCTCTTTGGTCTCTGCCGCAGATTCCGATAGGCGAAACAAAGACGCTATTCTACATCTGATGGATCTGATCTCGAACTTCCCTCCGTGCGTCCGCGCTTTGCTGCTTCTCATTGATGGAAAGACCATCTCGCCCCCGGAGAGCGCAGCGATTGCCCACGCTGTCTATGAGGCGCTTCATAGCGCCCTCATACCCACTGGAATAATCGGTTCAGACACTACCAGGGTCTTCGAAGGCTCTCGCTTGCTCTTTGGGTTTATTCTCGAGAAGGCTAGAACGACGAAGCTCTCCTCTTCCACAGCTGCTGAAGATGATTTGCCCTATCTCGCATCCCTCGAATCGCTCAATGTGAGGGATTTGAAGACAGGCGAGGCTGTGCTTCATCCCGTCCAGACAAAGTCCGGGCTTCTGGAACGCTCTCTATTTTCAGCTTTCGACGAAGGCGGCGTGCTTGCACACAGTCATCTACAGCCGCGTCTTGCACAGATTGAGACTCCTTCTGCTGTTGGGCGTCACGCGCTGCTAGCTGGCGGCGCGAGTCCTACAGTATTGATCTTCAATGTCAGCCGCCTGGTAGCAGATTACCGCTATCCTGATGCGGGTCACCCGCAGGGCGCTTTCGACGAAGGCGAGCTGTCTCAACTGAGCCACTTGGCAGAAGTGGCTGCTCGTAATCAGCTTTCTGTTCACAAACCCACGCAACTGGCTTCGGCGGTGGCGCCATGCCTTACGTTCGATCGCAATGCTCACCTCGCCGTCTACACTGGACAACAGGCATGCGGTGCCCCTGGAGAATCGAATCTTGTCTTCCGGCCGTCGCTGGGCGAGAGCACCATGAACAGCACTGTCGTAGAGCAGCTCATCGCTCCAATAATTAAGCAGTACGAATCGGACGGCTCTGCCGTGTTTGACTCCTTCGGAGGCGCCGTGCTGAGGCTCCTGCAGGCGCCAGACGAGCTGCTGTTCTTTTGCGTCGACACGAGCGCTTCGATGCGAACGTCCAGTGACTTCCGCGAAGTGAACGAGCAGCACCCAGATGTCGAGCCGGATCTCTGTGTACAGGACATTGTCGATGCTGAGGTCTATGCCACCGTGACGTTTGACACGATGAAAGACTGTCTGAGCAAATACGAAGCCTTCAAAGACATGTTGGGTATTCTTGTTTCTGAGAATGACAGCAAAAAGCAGCGCGGGCTTGCCTCTGAAATCATCGATATGTACCGTATGCTTCTCGGTCAAGAGATCGTCGCAAAGCACGAACGCATGATGAAGGACCGAGACAATGCGCGAAGTTATTTTGCCCGTCAAGCCATCATCGACGCTGAATCGACACTGAACGGACTGAAGGCTCAATGGGCAGGCTGCCAGACACACCACGAAGCTCTTCAAGACTTCTTGATCTATCGTGCGAACAGCTCTGCCGATATCAACGTTGAGTGGTATTGGAGTGTAGGAAGCGATGTTCCAGCCCGCGCGCCTCCAACTCGCCTTCCAACTCTTTCGGAGGATTTGGCGAGTGTGCCGCACGAACTTCGATGCCCCATCTCCTATGCCCTTTTGGAAGATCCTGTACAAGCCGTCGATGGATTCACGTATTCGCGCTCAGCAATTGAACAATGGTTTGGCGTTCGGACATCCTCTCCAATGACGGGTCTACCTCTGCAATCTCAGGCATTGGTTGCCAATGATGAGCTGGCTTCCGCTGTCGTTTCGTGGATCCGTGGAGCCGATATGCAAGAGGCCTCGCAGCCCCCAGCCAAGAAGGCTCGCCTAAGTCTGCCAGAACAGCATGCTAAAATCACTTTTCTCAGTAAGGATGGCGCCTTCGACCGGGAGATTACCCCTGAAACAACTGTGGCCGACCTATACCAGCTGGCGTTTCGTGGAATGAAAGCCCGTTTCATGGTATTCCAGCTTGCGCTGCACGATTCTACCCCTCTCGACCCATCTTCTTCCCTAGCACACTCGCACAACATCCATGATGGCGACCAGATCTTCATACGAATCGCAGACGAGAACTCAACCAGGAGCGGAGAATCTTCTCACTCAGCCTCTGGAAGTGGTCAGGCAGAGGGCCACGCTCTAATAAAGGTCTATCGTAATGACCAAGTCAATTTCTCGTTCTGGGTGCCACGCTCGACTTCTGGTACAACGCAATCCATCATCTGGAAGTACTGGCGCTACCAGTATGAGACTGTGGGTTGGCTTGGCCTTCGAGAGGTCCAGATTTGGACTGGTCTATACAGCAACGGGGATGGCCTGATGACTGGTATGCCTCGCGACCATACTGATCCTATGTCCTGGTACCTCAAACGCGGTTTGTACAATGGCAGGCTCGAAGATGAACCGCTTTGTGGCGAAGAAGCTACGGCGCAGAATGGTCAAGCGAGTGATAACACGAAGCCGCTAGTCATAAAAGTCGACGTCCAGGCCATTCGCAAGACATCGAGCAGGGAAGCAGCCGACCTGAGCCGCCTCGATGTTCTCAAGCAGATGTTCGAGGCTTACATCAATCGTTCGATCGCATACGGGTACAAGGTGCACATGGGACTTGTCACTTTTAACACAACCGCCGCGGTAAAGACCTCGCTGACCCATGTTATCGAGAACTTCCGGAACGCAATCTCGAACATGGAGGCGGAGGGAGACACCGCGCTGTGGGAGGCAGTGGCACTGTGCCACGACCAACTCAACGAATATGCTGAGAAGTACCCACAAGCTAAGAAACGCATTGTCGTCATAAGTGATGGCGACGATACCAAGTCAGTCTTCAACAATCCAGCTGCGCTGACCTTCAACCTGCGTGAAGACAAAGTTGTCGTTGACTCCGTTTCTCTGGGCAATGCAGACAGTGGGGATTTGCGCACACTGTCGCAACTCACCGGCGGATATCGCTTCAAGCCGACTTCACTGGTGAATGCACTGTCGATGGTGGAAATGGAGCCTTTCCTGTCATTGCTCGAGCGCCCGGAATCTGCTTATGCCATTCCGACAGGTGCTCCTATTTTCCTTCCCGCTTTCAAAGGCTTCTTTGATGCGTACAGTATGTACCGGGTGCGCACGGCGACTGTCACAGGCGATAATTACCCAGCCAGAAAGGCCCACGCCAACCTCGAAGATGACTTCATCGAACTGGCAGCAGCATCTATGCGTCCAATGCTGACGAGCCAGAGCTCCGGCCGCAGCAACTTCCGTACCACTCGACTCATGAATGAGATGAGAGCCATCGCATCTGGCTACGAGCAACGCTCTTATGATGTCTACGTATCTGAGAGCGACATGTCCTTCTGGAAAGTGGTCATGTCAGGTCCAGAAGGCAGCCCCTATGAGCACGGCACATTCTTGCTGTACTTGCACGCTGGTGACACATACCCTACCTTCGCACCAGAGGCCCGTTTCGTCACCCGCATGATGCACCCGAATGTCAACGCTCATGGTCGCATCTGCCACGCTCTGCTGTCGCGCGACTGGACCTCCGACATCAGCATGACCATGCTGCTCGACACCATCTTCGGCCTTCTCATGCAGGCAGAAGTCAGTGATCCAATCAACACTACCATCGCTCTCGATTACCACCACGATCAAGTCGACTTCGCAGAAGAGGTTCGTGCTCATGTCCGCAAGCACGCATCGAAGACCCGCGACCAATGGAAGAAGGATCTACTTTGAGAAGATAGGGCGTGCCTTCTGGAAGAACTGACCATTTTGGCCCAACTTGTTGTCTTAGCATGACTGGTGAGTATGGTACGTTTACCAGAGCCATGATTACCTGGGAGATAAGGCGCTGAATGAAAGACACGAGATGCTTTGATGCCACACGATGGGCACACGAAGAGCATTGACACAAGAGGAAGTAGCTGAGCCAGTCAGTCTGGTCATGCGAACTAGATAGAAAAACCTCAACGCTGTTACCTCGAACGACGTATCTTCTCTCATCCCCTTCTACGAAAGTCCAAGTTTCCTGCATTGTGACTACATCCGCCTTCGGCGTGACGAGTTTTTATAATGTTCCACCTTTCAGCTTGAGCCTCTGCCAAAACGATCCAGTAAGCAAAGATCGTGAGATTCCATGTAAAAATCCAGCTCTTCACCTTGATGCCAGGCTAGTCAAACAACATGACATGAAGAGTAGGGTGAGATGAAGTAAGTAAAAACAATCAATTCACGCAAGCTAATGCTATGGGTATCACACGTCATTCCAGCTCATCGCTCTCGTAATCTATCATCGCTCCATCGCGCATGCCATCTCTGGTCTTTGCCTCCATGCATCTGTCTCGCTTCTTTTCTCATTCAATTCCCGTCCTGTATGGAAAACCTTTCATGTGCCAGACCTTGTCCCAAAAGGCATATCCAGCCTCTGACTCATGCAAAGACCGAGACAAATCCTATGCGCCGGACAACCATGATGCGCAAAATATTATGATACAATGCCTCCAAGACGCCCAAGTCTGTGCTGGTGAACTTTAGCAAAAGATCTTGTAGACTCGTTTCCAAGTCGGCCATGTTGCGCGTTCGGCTCTTTCCTCGTCGATGAGTTCGGCAATGTTGAGGTCGCGGATGCCGGCTAGGTAATAAGTCAGTAGGTGTCAAAATTTAGGCCGATGATGAGGAAACTTACTATGCAAATCCATGTTATGACTCCGAATTATCGGTGTCCTCATCCATATTTTGTAGACAAGGTAGGTGATGATGACAACAGGAGCAGCCAAGTAGGACAGGAAGAAGCCTTGGACTCGTTGACTGGTAGTCTGGCCACCGAATTTGACGGGCCAAGCTGCGGTCCAGAACTGTGTGGCGAGCACCAGTACATTGAACAGGAAACCGATCCATGACCCGACAACACCTGGCTGTGATGTAAAAGCGAGCTCCGAGAGGCTGTGGCCCTGGCGTTTCCAACCAGCGCGGAACCGAATGTGGGCGAAACAGATACTACCCCAAGTGAAGATGGAGGAAAGGCCTGATAATGCCAACATCCAGTTGAAAGCTTCGGTCTGCTTGTCAGAACCTGCAAAGAAGGCGAGGAGACCGAGAACGCTGGCAAGTCCAATGGCCACGATGGGGCGGCCTTTGCGGTCGATATAGCCAAGAATCTTCGGGGCTTGATTTTGATCGGCCAAAGCAGCGAGTGTGCGCGAAGATCCATATATTGAAGAGTTGCCAACAGAGAGGACAGCAATCATGATGACCACGTTGAACACAGAGGGCAAGCCGCTGATGCCCGCGTTGACGATGGAGATGACAAAGGGCGAAGCCTTCGCATCGTAACTCGAACTGCCATTAACAAGTCGTCTGTCATCGTAGGGTACCAAGAGTCCAACAATCGTCAATGATACCAGGTAGAAAAGAGCAATTCTCCAAAAGACTTGTTTGACGGCCGTTGGCAGGGACTTCCTAGGATTCTCCGTTTCAGCAGCCGCCAAACCGACAAGTTCCGTACCAGCGAAAGCGAAAGCCGCGGTGACGAAGACAGAGCAAAGCCCCTTGAAGCCATTCTTGAAGGGTCCGGGATGGTGCCAGAATGTGCCGCCAATATAGCCTCCTTCGTTCACGAATGCGTATGCATCAGAGTATTGGAGCAGGGCTTCCGCTTCTGGTCCGCCAGGGCCGCCACCGCAATTCAAGATGATTCCCAAGAGAATATATCCCACAATGGCAATGACTTTGATGATGGCGAAAACGAACTCTGCTTCGCCATAGCCTTTTACGCCGAAAAGATTGATCACGACAATCATGACCAGGAAGATCGAGACCCAGGCATTGTTGCTGATGCTGCCATCGCTCCAGTATTCAATGGTGATGGTAGCAGCCACAATCTCCAATGGCAAAACGACGAGCCATTGCATGGCGTAGCTGCAAATGATATTAGCAAGCAGCTTGTGGTGTTCCAACCAAGTTCAACTCACTTCCAACCCATCGCAAACCCCCAGGCAGGGTCGATGAAGCGAGTCGAATACGCAGAGAAGGAACCAGACACCGGGAAAAGCACGGCCATTTCGCCCAGAGCATGAACTGTGCAGTACATCATGATTCCGACAAGTGAGAATGATACCAGAAGTGAAGCCGGACCGCCCGTTGCCAGGGAAGAGCCCGAACCCACGAAGAGACCAGTACCAATCGAACCTCCAATTGCGATCATTTGCAAGTGACGACCCTTCAAACTTCGCTGCAGTGGTGAAGTCGCTGTGCCTGCCGCTGCTCCCTCAACGTCGAACACCCGCCCATCGGCGCCGATTGTCCCTCTTGGAGTGGCATGTGCATTCGGATCGCGCTTGAAACTTTCGACGAACCTTTCTGTCCATTTGGGTCGGTGTTTCATGTGCTCGCCATATTCTGGTAGGCCTGGCGAATCCTCCGAGGGCGAGTATTCCATCTTCATTTGCTTCTCCTCGTGCCGGTCCATGGTGAAGCTGTATCGCGACTAGCTTGAAGTGGCAAGAAATCCAAGAGAGCGTGACGCTCCACGGAGCGAGGTCCCGTCGTTTGTGTCGAGAAGTCCAACAAAGAAGTGCAGCTCAGACCGGAGAATGAGACAACGCCGCTGTGGACCCTGGCGGCGAATGTCGTTGTCCTGCACGCAACACCGCACACAGCGTCGAGTAGCTGCTTCTGATATGTAGCGGAGAGTGTGTGCGACCAGGCACGGCAGAACGAGCGCGCGCAGGTATATGTAGACGGCGAGCAGTTGAATGGCGGGCGGTCGATGTCGCCAAATTAGAGTTGGCGTGAAGAGTGGCCGCTGAGGTCCATGGACGGGTGACGGGGGAGAGTGCAGTGGTCGTCGTCTGTTCGGCGCCGCTGCCACCAGCAGCGAGTCAGGCCTGGGGCGCGCAAGGATCTCAGCGAGCGCGCATCTGTTGCGACTCCCTCTTCCAGTGGCTGTCGGCTGTGCTGCTGTGATATGTCGTGCAACCGCAAGTTGCCCTTCTGCCCATTCGTTGGCCACGCGACATTTTAGCGCGAACTTGGCGCCGCCGATCGCCAGGGAAGGAACGGGCCTGCGTGCAATTGGCCGGTCCAGACGCCGCTTGGAGATAACGCTTCTTCCTAGTTATCCTCCAGCATCCGAGCACATATCGCGGGCGTGCAGAACGAGTGAGAGATGGGAGAGCGCATCCTCATGTCACGGGCTGACACAGTCCTGCTGGCCTCACTTCCTCCAGGAGCCCCCGCCCGAGCGCCCATCACATTGTGCTTCCGGAATTTCTGATCGCTCAACGACAATGGCCTCTTCGAATCGCAGACTTGGACACGATGTCGAAATTCCAAGCTCGCACACTCGCGATATCTCAACGCGCCCCAAGGGAGAACAATGCCTGTCCGGGCGTTCCGATGCGATACGATCTGGCGTGATTCAGGCGTGATTCAGGCGAGTGGGATCCTCGCTGTGTTCCTGTTGTACGACAGGAGACCTGCACGAGGCTGGAAAGGCGAGAGAAGACGTATTCGATGGCTGATGAACACCAGCGAAACGCGCTAAGTACTGGGACATCGTATTACCACTCAGTTGCATGACGGTGTGCATCTTCAACGTGTCCGATGCTCTGTCGAGCCTGTGCGTACGTAAACTCCAGCACCGAGAAGCTGTCAAAGTCGCCCCTTTGTGCTTGAGCTATGCCTCCTTCCGTAACACAGAGTTGTCGCGTGGCGGTGGGTCATCTCGCTCCACGCATGCAGGTCGCCATTGTCCTTGCACATTCGCTGAATGACGAGTGCCCTCCTGCACTCCTCCAACTGATGACATCCGCATAAGCATCATCTCCACCTCGGATCCCACTCAAGAGCGCAACGCGCTGAGCTCCCCGCTGCAAAGTCCCGCAATCGTACAAGGACGAATTCCAGAAACTCCGCGCATCTCGCAAAAAACCGAAACTGTCGGTGAGCGTGGACACGGGACCTACGTTCCTGTGTTTCTGACGATAGTAAGGTGCAGTAACATTGCAGTAGACCTGCATTATACATATGCAATGCAGCTGGCACTTCTCTGGAGTCTGGATGCTTGAGTTCGGCCGGGTAAAGAGGCGAGTCGTGATTGCATCCATGCGGGCTTACTGGTTTCGTTAGCTCGGAGATCAGCTAAGGCGCGTAGGCTCGATATATGACCACCTAGACTCTTATACCGCACGTCTCCGATATATGGGGCTGGTCTGAAGTGCGTACTTGCATACGGTATGATGTAGGCTATGCTGTGCTGCTGACGATCCAGGAACCGTGCAGTGCAGTGCGGTGCTTCGGACGTTACTGCCGCAGTTGTGACCGAGCGATGCACCTTCGCGAAAGACCTTCTGCAACGAAGGAAGCTGCAAAGATCGAGATTGCTGGAGCAAGAGCAAGAAGCTTACATATTGTAGTTCTCCAGGCACGAGGGGGTAAGGTAGCACGTAGTATACTTCCTTTCACACGAATGCTTTCGATGAGCTATGGGTATGAAACGCAAATGCAAACTTCATAACACATTTCGATGCTCCCAGTCTCAAAGATACAACAATCTTCCCTATCGCCCCCTCCCCACTCAATACCATCATCAATCTTAAACCTCCGTCTCAATCCCCGGCTCTCTCGTATGCCTCGTAAAAAGACTCTCAACCCTCGACTCCACCCTCCCCAATTTCTCCTTCGCCCACGAAGCATTTCTCGCAGGTTTATACTGCATCAAACCCCTCTGTCTCCTATGCTTCGACTTCGCATTCTTTTTATACTCTTTCGCTTTATCAATAAGATTCATATGATTATCCTTCTTGCTTTCCCCATCGTCGTCATCATGAGTCCCATCGCTCGCAGTTTTGGTAGTTCCATGCCGCGAGAGACCTTTCACAGGATGTGCCCCGCCATCTCCATCTACGGTAGAATCATCGTCGTCGTCATCGGAGCTGTCAGAATCAGATGTGTCATCGCCGTCAGCTTCCGTGATTCCGAGATTTTCTGCGTTTTTCTTCGCTTCGTAGTTATCTCGTGCTGTGTCGAGGACTTCCATGACTTGTCTCAAGTCAATATCTTTCGAGGCCCAGCGTTGGTGACCTGCTCCGAGACCAGACCAGAATGCGATGTTGATTTTGATAGACCCGATTTGTTCGCCTGGATTATCGAGTGCGCAAGCTGTGGCGCGATCGTAGTCTCCTGTGTAAATTGGTAGTGTGAGCTCTTTCATTTCGTCGTCTGCGATGTCTTTGAGCCATAGAACGGCGAAGGCAGCAGTTTTGTCTTTGCCGAAGAAGCGGCCGTTGCGTTTGATGCGGAGGGATAAGCATGTTGCGTAGCGGCGGTGCACGGGAAGGTATAGTGGTCGGCCTTTTCGTGTTGCCCACGTTTGCTCTTGCTTGTTGGGGTACATTTTGCCGTTGGTGATGTTGGAGTGCCATTTCACTTTGAGGTCTTTGAGATCGCCGGGTACATCTGATGTAGACACGGTTGGCGCGATCTCGATCGTGCCGTAGTCCCAGCCGATTTGTTCAGGTTTGGCTTGCAGTTGTACGCTTCGCCAGACCATCGAGATCCTGACGCGGCCGTACCCAACGCCACCAGTGAGTGGGTAGAAGCCGTTGATCTGACTGCGATTCTTGAAGACTTCTGCCAATGGGAGATGGACGATTCCCAGCAGTGCATCATTCTCATCTGGTCGGGCGTCTCGTACAGTGACATGCACTTCTGCATTTCTCCAGTCACCAATAAATCGTTCCGTTCCGGCATTGTAGAAGGGCTTTGCGTTCTTTGGCTTTGTCCTGGTCTTAAACACCTTGCGATGATTGATGATCACTGTACAGTATGCGGAAGGCAATGTGTCTCCTTCCTCCTCTTCATCTTCGTGAGCAGAGTTCTTATCCGCAGTGGACTTGTTCTTGGTCTCCAATTCCAGGCCGGTGATCTGGTGAATGACCAGACTAAAGATTCCACTCCGGTATCCATCTGGAGGTGGTGCCGAAATGACCATCGCATCTTCGTAAGTCTTCTTCTCTTGCGCCTTCTGTTGTTCAAGCTCTTGCTGGGTGCGCGAGTGTCTCCCTTTCTTGATCATTGCCTCTCGAAGCTTCCTCCGACAGACCTCGTCGACCTTTTTCTCCAAGTCATCATGCGACTTGATTTCTCGGTCAAAGGTCTGCTTTTGGAATTGGCATTTCTGGAGCCTGGTTTTCGAGAAGTATCCCACTCGCCATTCGAGCTTGCCTGGCATATCCTCGCCAGCTTTCAGTGCTTTGAAGCCATCGGTGCGATAGTGCATTTGGCCATTAGTCTCATCTGAGCGCATAATCTTCTTCAGGTCCAATTCAATGCGGCCTAAGTCGTCGTCGGCTGTGAAGCGGTCCGAGTCCCAGAGTTGTACGCGCAATCGCTCGTCCACGTTGAGTTCTTCGGGCGTCACCAGGAGGTAACATCGCTCGTGCCAAAATGGCTCCATCTCCTGCATCTACACTCAGTTCACCAAACTTGGTCCTAAACCTGCTTCATGGATGATTGCACATACCTTGATCAATACTCGTGTGGAAAACATTGGCTTGCCGAATTTGGCCCAGCCTACCGACACATATGGATCCGAGCCACCTTCCGAGATCAGTGGAATCGATGCATCACCCATCTTGAAGTCGTATCCATGCAAAATGTCCACCACGACGATACCACGGGCGTTAGTGTCCTTCTTGAAGTCGTCTCCTGCGAGCATGTCCTTGAGGTCAAGTGTCAAAGACTTTGGCGCCACGTACTCGGCCATCGCGGCATCCACTGAACTCTGAACGAAGTTGGAGATCAAGGGCAGGTCCATGATATTCAGACCTCGTTTGACAATCGGTATGCAGCTCATATCCACCTTGGGCTGACCCAGAAAGGTGATCGTGCATAGAGAGAAGAACGGAGGATCCGGTGTTAGCTGTAAGCGAAGTCGACAAGTTCCGACAACACCTTTCATGTCCACCCAGACGGGGAACTTGATGCCACCGGGCAGATAGAATGCGAGATATAAGTGTATGTCCTTTGTCCGATCCTGGAACGACTTCGCTGCTCGGGCCCGGTACGCAAAAGCAACTTCGAGGTTGATGAAGTCGCCTTCTTCAGCCTCCATACCTTCGGCCACTTCAGCCCGTTCAGTGCCATCGCCATTGTCGTTGCCGCTGTCGCTGTCGCTGTTGCCTTCCTCCTGGTCGTGCTTGGCTTTGCTATCGATCTCACCCTGCCCTGGAACTGATCGGTCACTTTTGCGCTTGTCTTCGTCTTTTTTCTGAAGCTTGCCATCCTCTCCTACTGATCTTGCTGCTGCTCCGCTTGGCAACCATTTGATTCCGAGAATGCGCAATGCCTCGCTGCCTTGACCAATGTCTTCTACGCTGACCATCTGCACTATTCGCGGCAGTGAGGCTTGCATGACGTCTTCTAATGTGTCTGCGAGACTTGTGAAAAGATCCGGATTGATCAATGGCCAGACGGAGCCAAATAAGGAGTTCAGCCATGCCACGGATTCTGTCTCGTGAGCCTTTGCTTCGCGCTCGCGTGCTTCCAGGTTCGCTTCCCAGACTTGCTCTTGCCAGACGTCATCAATGCGATTTGCCATCCACATCCTGACTCCAGCAACTAGCTCCAGTACGGCAGCACCGCCCAAGACACATAACAGAACCCACGTGCCGAGCTTATGAATCCACCATCGCGCTTCGACGTCAGAATTCGTCCAGCGTGCCAGTCTAGTTGGTGTGAGTATTCTTTCGAGAGCCAATGCGAATACGATGATTGCCGCGGTTCCAATCAGTCCCACAGTAACACCTAGCTTGTTGATACTGACAAGCTCGGATCGCAGATCCTCGAAGCTTGGTGGAGGGAAGAGCGCATTCGTGCTGTCCAATCCACTCTGACTCTCCTTCGTCTCTTGCCTAAGCTGGTCGCTGTTCTTCCTCTTATTGCTCAGACCAGTGGCCGTCCTTAGTGTCGCTCCCCATGGCGGAGGGTTCTCCTCTATTTGCTCGAGATCGCCAGCAGTTCTGTCGAAAATTCGTACAGGCAGATGGGTGATTGGGTCGGTCACCTCGCGCTCCGCTCGATTGTTCCTGTTTTTCTTCAAGTCTTTCCTCGCCTTCTTGGGATCTCCAGCGAGAGGCGTGATCTCCGAAGTGTCTTCAACGGCTTGCCCGTCTTCGTTTGCGTCCTCACCCTTACCAACGTCAGGCCGCTCCTCGTCGCCATCTGTGCGGGCATCCGCGCGTTTGCTGATGTCCTCTTCAGGTTCCTGGTCTCCACCATTCTCGCCTCTCCAATACTCTCTCCAACTTTGCTTGGCCGAATCCCCTCGAGATCCGTGCTGTTCTTCGCGATCAATGCCGTCCGTCTCTACAGGAAGGGCTTGCGCCTGCCGCGCCTCTTTTTCCTTCTCGTATTTGGATATCGTCGGGATGGGGCGGCGCTGTGTGTAAGGGGCGTGATAATTTCTGCGCGACCTGTCGGCATCTTCCTGGCCAGACATGGTCGGCGTGGGATGTCCTCACCGGTGGAGCAAGCCGGCGGTGGCACCTTCCGTCACGAGTGCTGCTTGACAGCTTCCTGAGAGAGGACTGCTCGCTGCGGGCACCAATTGTCAAGGGACCGGTGAGTTGAGCACCGATTGTGTCGACACAGTGGTATTGTGCTCAAGCACGCAGGCTAGTGTTGAGAGTAGACGGATATGGGCAGGTAGAAGGAGAGAGGGAAGGCGATCAGGCCAGGGTACGTCACCTACAGTTTCAAGTTACAGCACAGCAGAGCAGTTGGCAATTGCGTGGACGGAGTGGGCTGGTGGTGGAAGCAATGCGAAGGATTTGGCTGCCAAACGGAGGGTGCTTGGAAGAGAGGAGGCCGGCTGCGTCATGGTCCAAGAAACGGGCGAGCTTGGAGCACAGCGCGTCCTGCTCCGAGGAACAAGCGTGACCAGCGCATGCAGCCGGCGGTCATCTTGACGACTGCGCTTTTGTGTCATGCCATCGCGAGTGAGAAGTCTTCCCGTACAAGCAGGACAAAGCAACAGAGGACAGACTCACTCCAGAGACACGATCGTCTCACTGGGGCGCTACTGCTCGGACGATGCCGCGCGCAGAAATGTCACGCGCGATGGAGAATGGCTTCTGCAGGGTGCAAGCGAGAAGCATCGTGCGACTGCGATGAGCAGCGACAGGCAGTCGATGCACGATAACTGCAATTCGGGCCCGGTCCTTGCAAAACGGCGACAGCGAAAGGGCAGCGAGGGCGCTTGTTTGTGCTTCGCAGACGTGGCAGAGCAAAGTACATGCAGCCTGCCCTCACGCTGAGCTCTCATTCCTCCAAGAAGCGAGCCATGCTCCACCTGCGCGCCCTCGCACCTCACCTCTCGCGCTCACGTCGCAACGCATCCAGCTCTGCTCTCCATCTTCCATCTGTTGCACGCAAGACAGGACAGGCCCTGCCTCTGTTCTTATACACACGACGAGCTACGGACTGAGGACCCCACGATCGCCGCGCTAGCCTGACCGGTTTGCGGGCCTCACCGGTGAAGCAGAGGCTGCGCCACGGCAAGGATTCCGGCGACGCTCACTAAACCTCAGGCCGACCAGAGCACTGCGAATTCGCGCGAAAGCGACTGAGAGGCCGGGCTGAAGGCTGGGAGTCAACACGAAGAACTGGAAGGAACCGCAGCCCCCAGACCCGCTCTCACACCGGAGGAGCTGAGCGCTGCGCTGCGATATCACAGCCATGGAGGACCCTCCGCTCGCTCAGCTCTTCGGCTCCCACTTCTTCGACTACGGCCTGCCTGGAGCACTGGCAGACCACCCGTTTCCCGTGCTGGTTGACGAGAACGGCTGGCCAGTAAACATGACCCAGCTTGACTGCTTCGACGATGCGTTCTGGCCTCATCACGAAATGATTCTGGACACGACGAACCACACCGACGTGGCAAAGTCTCCCGCCCAGCAGAGTCATCGCACTGGAACTGAAGGCAGCGACTCTCTGTCTCCCGACGATGCCTCGGGCCACATCCTCACTCCGTCATCGACCAACTACAGCCCCTACATGACCAATCTGGACGACCCAGAGTCTGATGTCGCGTCGGGATCACCAGAGAGCGAGCGTAGCGTAGCAGGCGACTTTGTTCACGTTCTCAGCCCAAACGGACCCCAGACTGAGAGCATGAGGCAAAATTACGCCCCGCGCTCCTCACCAAGGCCCGGGCCCGTGCCGTCAGCGCAAACCTCATCGCTCTTGCGCCATGCCGCAATCCCATCACAGTCTCATCGAAGCCCTGGAATGCCATCGCGACATTGGCAGTCGTTCGGCCCGTCCACCAACACCGGCGTGGACGGGCTGAACACGACCGCATACGCTTCCTTCCCTGGCGCGCAGGACTTTCAGCTCTACGACGACTCCGCAATCCTTGCGAACGTAGGCGATTCCTTCGACCCATCGTTCGCGTCCGCACCACAGCAGCAACAAGACGAATACGGCAGTCTATCGTTCCGAAGCCATGACGGCGCATTGCAAAACTTTCAAGCTCAGATACCTTCGCATGATCAATCACTGGCCGACATGCAATACGTGAGAAATGCTGTTGCATACCCTCAACAGGGGCAGCCACTGTACCCTGCGACTAGCACGGCCGCCTTGCAATTCGACACATCTTCCCAATATCTTCGTAGCATAGAGAACACAGAGCATGTCACTCACGACAGCCTGACAACACCCCAAGCGCTACCAGTTATGCCGAAAACCATCACCCACCCGCCTCAAAAAACGACCCATGTTGCGCCTCATACGAATCCGACTTCACGAGGGCAAACGTCCGGGCGATCTCATGCCCAGCCACGTTCCCGTGTGCAGGTTCGGCCAGCTCCTGCAAGCAGCGGTGGCAACAGCCCGAATAGTAGCGCGACTTCATCTCAGTATGAGAGTTTTGACCTCAGCGGTTCCTACCCCTACATCGCCGCAGCGGCGTCATCGCTTGCACAGCCTGCTGCAACCCGTGTCTCACACGCCGATAAAGTCTCGAAGAGCGCTGGGCCGAGAGGCGGGCGCAAGAAGAATTCACATCTTCCCGATGTATCACGACAACGAAGTCATGCCATGCGTAAAGTTGGAGCCTGCTGGCGCTGCGTCATGCAAAGAGACCCTTGCGATGCGCCCGAGGGTGGGTGCTGCTCAAGATGTGTCATGCGAGCAGCAAGAGGGCAAACGTACTACTTCGGATGCGATCGATCAAAACTGCCAGAATTCGTTCACGAATTCCTGCCTGCCTCGCTTCTGCATGACCATCAGAAGCAAAGCATCGAGACATTCGTCAGCTCCGAAGTCGTTCACTGGCATGTTGACAACTGTATCGATGTCTATTTGTCTAGTGGCTATGGCCCACCGCTGCCATGGAAGCTGTATGAGTTCACTCCGAGGAACCTCGAATTTCTGTATCAACTGCAAGCCACCCAGGATCCACAGTCGATGCGCACAATCACAAAGAAGAAATACTCGCCGCCGTACGGATTACTGAAGATTGACAGCGTTGATGACAGAAACTACGAAGCGTACTTGGAGGACCTACTGCAGCCGCAGTGGTTGAAAGAGCTTGGCGAAAGCGCGTATGCAGAGGAGAACCTTGTCGATGAGGGCATGTTCCAGTGCAAAGTCCTCGACCTCATGTGTCAGCTGTACATTGGTACCAGTGATAGGACGCTCAAGCCGCTGCTTGGTGATGTGCTTCGCATGATCATTATAACGTATATCATGGGCCATACATTGACCATCACCGAGGAGACGCTGTATCCTGTCATCAACAACATTCGGCACACACCCAGGCCACCGGCAAACCAGAAACACACCTCGCCACGCTTAGCCAACCGGCAGTTGAAGTTCTTCTTCCACCTTGTGCGCAACAGTATCTACGAGAAGGTTTTGAAATGGCAGCAGCATACCCTACACACCGCCGGCAAGAAGCAAGAGACCTGGCTCCACGCTTTCTGCGTCACACTGGGCTTCGCGATGGTGTTGGAAGAAGTGCAGCGCACCATGATGTGCCATGCCGAAGCTAAAATTTATCGAGGGGAAGCCACACCTGAAGATGCGTTCAACGAGGCACAGCAACATTGTGAAAATATCGACAAACGCTTCAAGCTGCTCATTGGTCTGTTCCAATGCAAATATCGGGACCGGAAATGGACCGATACTGGCAGCTTTGGCAATGGGACCCCAGAGTTCAATGACCCCGTCTCCAACACCTTCCTCTTGCACTTGAGGCACCTCGTGGAGCAGAGAGAATCACATCTGCGAAGTCGAGAAGATGTGCAATTCTCGTTAGAGAATCAATGCTTGTATACCACAAGACTCACTGCGCGCTTCCTGCTGCCGTTCTTGAATCTGCCTCCCGCGTGAGGCGGAACACCTTGAACCGAGGAAAACATGGATCACCTAGTCTACCTAAGTGCACTGACAACGCACAGGCTGCGCTTGTTCACTTCACACGACCCCGCAGACCACGGCGTCTATTCAATGACTTGTCTTTCGAAGATACCCAGGGGAAAAATTGATTAGGCTCGGATATACGGACCTGGCAAAAAAGCAAAATATTTCCGGCCACAGCCCTCATTCTTTATGGGAGGGCATGATTCTAGAGGCGGCGAATCTGATGACGATACGACTTGTATGATAATTGCCCACGTGTGATATGTCCTTTTGCACGGGCGGGCACGTTGCCCTGATCACGGCCTTCTTGATATACACCACAACTTGAGATTACCAAAATATTACTAGCATGATCAACATCACATATACTCACGTCTCACCTTCATGTCGACTCCTTCTTCCTCGCATACACAAAAATCTGCGTCTCTTCTAGTGATTCTTCACCTCGATCCGGTCGAAATTTCACAATTTCATACTTCAAAATCTCAAACCCCGCCGCTTCAATTCCCAACAAAGTATTCTCTGCTGTAAAACTCGAAGATGGAAAAACTCGATCCATCCATTGAATTAAAATTTCATTTCCTTCCAGAGGAACACTGGCGTAGATGAAAATTCCGGAGGGGGTGAGGAGGGTGTGGACCTTTTGCGCGTTGATGCGTTAGCCGAGAGGGCGTTTTGTAGGTTGATCGATCGACTTACTTTTCTGAAGAATGCGCGAATTTCGTTTTGAGTTACGTGGCCGATTGTGCTGAAGTATGCTACGATTGCGTCTGGATGTTCTTCTTCGGAGGATGAGGGTGGAGTGGAGGAGAGAATGTCGGCTTCTATGAACTTTGCGAGAGGGGCATTGAGACGGGCGTGAGAGAGCATTTTGGAGGAGATATCGATGCCTGTTACAGAGAAATTGTTTTCGGAGAGGAATTTGCAGGTGGGGATGCCGGTTCCGCAGCCTAGGTCGAGGATTTTGGAGGTGGGTTGGAGGGTGGTGAGGAGCTGGAGTCAATGAGTAAGTAGGTGGGGTTTGGTTTTGATGAGGGAGGTGGTTTGAGGATTTTACCCATTGTAGTGAGCGGACCTGAGCTTCGTTTTGTTTGTAGGCGTCTTCGTAGGTTTTTCCGAGATCGTTGTAGAGGTCTTGGGGCGTTGCGCGGAAGTCTGCGTCGGAGGATCTGTTGGCTGCGAGGCCGTAGGGGGATTTTTCCATGCTGGGCTGTGAGGATGGTGTGAACTTTGGAGAGTAAGATTGAGAGTTGGATGTATGTGAAGGAGGTGGAGCTGCGTGAAGACCAAGATATAGAAGTTTGTCGATGCCAATGCCATTGGCTTGATAAGCTATGCTGTATCACCAAGCAGAGGGGTATTGCATGCCTGCGCAAACGAGCTGTGCTTCTCGCCTGGGGTTGCATGTTGATCACGAGTCGAGTGCCACTTCTTGCTGAGCACTTCCATCTGGGAGGCGAGTGGGTGGTCATGGTGTAGATGAATACTGCCGTTGAGCCGATCACTCGTGACACTTCGTCGTCCTCAATGAGGTCAGACCAGTTCGTCTGAAAAACGCTCAATCGTGATGGAAGTCAATTCCTGTGGGCAGAACGCTATGAGCATCAGTCCATCTCACGTACCTTCCGGAAGTGCGAAGTGGATGCAAAAGTGGGTCACTAAGAAGAGTGGATATCTTCAAGCCAACTTCATGGTGTTGCAACAGTTGACTCTCGTCAGCCGTCTTTGAACACAGTCTTTAAACACTATCCGGAAGAGGTATTTTGGTATATGAGGCCCTATTTTCATAATGCACACTCCGTTCTTCATGTTGTCATCTGCAACACGTTCGCAATTTCCCCCATGCTCTTTTCTCCGACCATCTACAAAGCGGCAAGAATACCAGCAGCACCCAGACCGAGGGCAAGGACTTGTTGGGCCATGTTGGTGGGTGCAGCGGCCGCAGAGGTGCTGGAGCCTGTGGTTTGTGCACCAGCGCCGGAGGTCGTGCTGCTTCCTTTGGTGTTGTTGCCAGCGGCAGGAGCAGATGTGGTAGCAGGCGAGGTCTCGGAGCCGCTGGCGCTGCTGGTTTGAGTGCCGGTGGGCGCTGGGCCGGACGCGGTGGCGGCGCAGGTGGCAGCGGTAGGCAGAGTGGTCACACCGTATGAGCCACACAGAGCGTTGGCGAAGCTGATAACCTCTGCGCGCGGTGTTAGTTACTTCCGAGCTAGCAGTATTGTAAGAGAACCCACCATCAATGCCTGACTGATCGCAGTTCTGTGACACGCAGCACGACAGAGTCTCGAGAAGTGGCTGGTTGCTGCAGATGCACGCGACGTCGACCTGGTTGCACCCGCCGTAGTTGGTGATGCAGCCTTGGGCGCACGAGGGCAGACCCGGGATCTGAGCGAGTGCGACGCTCGCGAGGAGGGCTACACCTGCGAGCTTGAACATGGTGAATTCTGTCGGGGCGTGAATTACGGGCGGAGAGAAGGGCAGCGGCAGGTTCTTTGTTGGCGGGAGGTGAAAGAGAGTGATACGACCGAACAAGATAACGGGGACAGGCCGGCGGCGCGCGCGCGATGAGGGCAGCAGGGTATAAATATGCCCTCACCCAGCTCACACCTCACCCATGGTAGAGGGGCGCCCACGCGGGCTCACCGAACTGGGCAGTATTGGATGGAAGCGCAAAGTATCGCGACAAGCACAGGCGAAGTTGTTCTGGAACATCCCCGCAACGCGAGCCTCCGAGCCCAGCGATTGGTTGGATGCAAGCCCTATGCCTGCGCTAGCTAGTCAACGTGGTTGAACTCAATTGGGATGCTTGTCTTCCATATTCACCTGCCATCACTCGTTTCACTTTCCTTCCATCATCTGCTGTGCATCGCCATCTCGCATCGCGCTGTATGAGCTGCGCGTCCGCGCGATGGGCGCAGTCGAGCATCAAGCTCTGTTGGCGGACACTGCGTCCACGGCTAACCAGGAAACTGCCGGACCAGCCTTCCGCCGCTACGTCGAACTTGTTTAATTGCATGAGAGCCAGGTCAGGCACTCGAGCGTGTCAGCGTCTGCAACCTCCTCTGCCAAGCCGTCAGACATCGTATTGAAGAGTCGTCACCTTGACCACAAAGCTCTGAATGAGTATGAAGAAAGGCTGCCCGAGCATATTGCAAAACTTGAACGCCTGACAGGGTTGGTTTACCCTTCTACACTACTCGAGCTTGCTTATGCTGAGGCTGACTTGTCGACAAAGACACCAATTCAATGACCCAGACTACGCTCGAGCTGCACTATGGTCGTCCATCCTTGAACTGGATGGGCAAGCCATCCAAGCCACGCAAGCAGGGCTCGCACAAATCGGAGACGCCGCTCTGAAAACGCTGTATTTTACGCGTCATTTTCCGAACATCACAAGTTCGTGTCCTAAGCAGGTATTGGTGCATCGTAGTCTGCTGACACGATATCTCAGACACGCTTCAGAGACAATTCGACATTGTGGCCAGCAATGTCCACTTGGCCCAGGTCTTCGTTGCCCTCCAACTCCAAGACTTGTCCGTACAGATCGACAATTCGAGTTTGCCACGGCATAGAGCTACGTTGGTCGAGGCGATTATCGGCGCGGTGTTCCTGGATTCGGGGCTTAACATGACGGTCGCTGATAGCGCCATTTCCGCCATGCGCATTTTCGACATAGGTTCTGAGCTCTCAGATGAACCGCAGCCTCGCGTTACTTACAGGGACAAGCGGCGATCGCGATCCAGACGAGAACGCGAGCCAGTTGTTACGAGCACAGTTGTTGCTACCAAGTCCGATGCTTCCAGTACGGCCTCCAAACCGTTCGCGCAGGGAGCTCAGATTGACAGCAACCTCCTTCGACCCTCTCCTCCGGAAGAACTACCTGCATCCGGTTCAGATGAGGAGATCTCCAGAAACCACATCAAGTGGCTCAAGCGCTCACGACACTTCCTCGGGCTGGCGTCAACCAGGCCAGGCTGGGTGTTACGAGGCCTAGGCGGATCCTTGAGTACTGTTTCCGGAATCCAAAGTCTAATGAAGAAACACTCCGAACGGAAACAATGCGCAGACCCAGGTTCTCTACTGCATACGGCTGAGGCCATGAGAACCCGCGCGTACGAGAAGCTGCTGCGACATAAACGTCAGAATGATCTTGCGAAAGCGCAAACCTCAGATCTGCGTACACCAACAAATACATATGCACAATATCATATCTAGTGCTATTGAGCCCGATTCTCAGTCGATGCGAACATACTGCAACAAGCACAGAATGGTAAAAGTTGTGCGGCGGTCCGGACGAGAGCATTGTCTTCCGCACACGCCAGCTGTGGGATTAATCCACAGCACCATTAAACTTGAGAACCCATCATCTAACCACAGGGGTATTTAGGCCTTGTTCATCACGCGGTGCCGCGATGTATGTCCATGGGTGCCGAGTTTTGATCAACTGAGCAATGGCAATCGCTCAACAGCTTCGATAGTGCTTTCCTAAGCTATTGAGGCGTTGGGCACGATCCTACGACCTATGTGCGGTGCTGGCACACAGACTACGTTAGCATCAGGCAACTCGCATTGTGTAGCTAATTGTTCTCAAGCATTACCATCGAACATACGCTGAATCACAACTGATCATCGACAAGCGCAGGATTGCGGGGTCTTTCAGGACAAGCTAACCAAGCGGAGACACTGCTCGAACACTGGACGCCTCTACCTCTCAAGTCAGTCGCGTGCCTTCGGTCGTTTATTCTCAGTAATAGTCATGGTGCTGACAACGACGTTCTTTCCTTAGGCAGTGTTGGCACCCTAGATTATAATTTCGCTCCGCGAAGAGCACCAACGCGACTACCTCGCAACCACCGAACGCGCAACAGCTACGGGCCTGAGTCGGGAAGTAGGGACGCATGACTTCACACCGGTCGCTTTGACCGATAGGATGACTCGCGCTATATAAGCTTCCCTCTGCGGAGAGCTGCATCGAGCCACCGCTTGTTTGCTGCGACGCGAATGTACAAATTTGTACCAGTAGCACTCACTCCTTCGCTACCTGTCAATGTCGCCCGGCATGAATCACTCTGTGCTGCGAACTAGCGAACCCGCAAAGCTTGCCCGATATTTCCAAGAACAAGGTGCACAACATGGCATCCAGGCAGTTACAAAGGAGCTTCTGGAAGGCATCGAGAATGAGTCGCTCCCACCTACGATATACGGCATCTGGTTGAACGCGAGCGGTGACTGTCAAGCTGTCCATGCGGGACTAATTCAGCATTTCTCCAGAAGCGTTCGACATGCGTCAAGCGTCAAATTCGGCCGAATCCTCCGCAGCGATCGTGCGAAAGAAATCTGGCAAGCCGTAGGTGGAACATTGGGAATTGTTGCATTCCTCTCTCAGGCCGCTGTGCGGGATGTCAAGCAATTTTGCCATGAAGTTGGGAGAGCATGGTCCTCTCGAGTCGCAGTCGAAGTACGGCAACAGCTTGTGGATGAGCTTTATCTGGCACTGGTACAGCAGAACTTCAGCCCTTCCGTCATCAAGGTCTTGGAACGGAGGCCTCTGAGAGCGCACTACCGCCGTGTCGCTCCGGCTGGCTCAACTGCTCTGGCCACAGTTCATGTGCGAGGCAATGACCAAGCATTGAAGACCTCTTCTCTGGAAGCGCATTCGAACTTCTTCCGGGAGCAATTCCTACAGTCCTTGGCCGATGAGACGCAAAAAGTCGATTTTAACCGCATGGCCGCCTTGCTCAACATCAACTGCAACGATCAAACGGCCTATCATGGACATCGGCTTCCCGTCAACGTAGTTTTTGCCATACATGCACTGGAGGGTCTATCCCAACGAGTATATGTCGAAGACTTCAAATCTGGCAAGCTTCATGCGCTACTAAGAGAAAAACTGTTTGCAAAGCTGTACATACTCAAGATCAAGCCGAAACTCGTTGCAGAAGTTGTTGATTCGTACGCCCGGTACTTCGACAAGCACGTCAGGCGCAAGTACAATTTCAGCTTCTATCAGAAGAAGACCATCTTAGAGTTCATCGCACGCAAATGGTGTCGGCACCCGCAAGAACTCACACCCTCACTCATACGAGTGTTTCGACTAATTCCCAAGACCCAGACCATTCACTTAATGGATTTCGAAAAACTGCTGATCGAAGTCCCTTGGTCGGCAAGACTCCGCTTATTTGAACTGGCTGTGCAACACATACCATCTCTAGGGCACGACATATCAACAGATCACGGTCTCAAAGCACTGTCATTCGAATGGACGGAAAGATTCCTCTTGTGCTTAGACAAGCCTGGAGCTCGAAGATTGTTCGATCGACTGGTGAGGCTCAAGCCAGATCTATTCGGAACCGAGGAGATCCAAGAAGTGTACCAGATCAAGCGGGATCCAACTTACCTCCGACTCTTGCTAGCTGTTGAGGACCCGGACCTGCTCCAGCTAGCCAACGCTGCGCTAGATTATCGTAAGAAGGAGGCCTATAAGGCGCGAAAGCAGCCGGAGAGATGTTTCTGGATTCAGTACGCGTTGAGGTGCGCCACGGCTTCTTGCTCGCTCCCCTTGTATCGAGACACGTTGGTCTGGGCGAGGAAGTATACGAGAGATCCTCTTACAGCTGCAGTCATCTATTCTCAAAGTGATCTGCAAAGGAGCGACAGCATCGCGTTGTTGCGTGGCTTCGGTGCAGTCGCCTCTGGAGGTTCAGCGGCCGATGTGCAGCGCGATGTGCAGCAGGCTAATGTGATCTGTCGGGAGCTGCTTGATACCGCATGCGAAGCGGTGGGTGAGCCAAGTTTCTCCAGGCACCACTGGACCGGAGTATTCAGCCTGATGGACGCTGTCGTCCACAGCAGATTCAAGCACGTGAATGCGCTACAGGACAAGCTCCATATTCCGAACGAGGCACTATACGAAATTGTCTGGCAAGATACCCTCGAAACATGCATAATCTTGGAAACATTGGGACTTCAAGATAGCAACGCAGACTTGGAGTTCAACAAAGTGGGTGGCCCACTCTGTAACACTGCCGATTGGGGCTCGTTGATCGTTGTTGATGATCCTCGGCCAGCGACAATGCGCTTCTTAGATCAGCTTGCTGTACGCCGAAATCAGCTCTGGGAGTCATACCGCCAAGCTGAGCGGCCAGCCGTTCTAACACTACCGGAAGTACATCCGCGAGGACTGCCGTTTCAACACCTCCTGCCTGTTTCTCTCGTCAATTGTAGAGAAGCAGCACATATCCCTTACTTACAGGAACGAGCCAGCCAAGCTGTATATGCCGATCCTGAGTTTGCGATGTCAGCACCTCCGGAAGATGAAGAGACAATCGCTGCCATGGGACCTTTCGTGGAGAACTATGGATTTGCGCTAGGAAACTACGTATGCTGGAGTTCAGATAGACGAGCGACTGCGCTCAATGCATGGGAACACGCTACGGTCTCGCTCTCTGTTAGTCGAATGTCTCCAGAGGAAGCGGTGTCCTTTTGGTCACCCATATTCGAGACGGCGTTAAGCAATCTTGACCTCAAAGGGCCTTGGAACGAGACCCCAGTACCATCAGGTAATCTCGAGCTTCCAGCAAGCAATGATGGCGATGGACAGCCGATGGAATGGAACCCAGACACAGAGTACAGGGACTTCGACGTCAAATTTCGTCGTCTTCCGCGCACTATGCTGGATGTCATGGTCAACAACCCTTTCAGCCGGCATGGCTTGCATGAGGATATCAAGTCCCGCTTGGAAGATGAATGTGAAGGACATGTGCCTGCGCGAAGAACGACATTGTTCTGGGATCGTCATCAAGATAGACGTGCTTCACCGGCGACGAAAGAAGCGCTCATTGCTGCTGTATTGTTGTACATCAGCGCGAAGAACCAAATGACGCCGACTCTGCTAGCCGCTCCGTACCCGTCAGGATTCGATCCTAGGTACCCGGCTCTCTACCTTGACGGGGACTTTCTCATGCGAGAAGAGCTTGACACGGACTCTATATGGGATTTGCTGAAAATGCTAGCGGCCAGAATCCCTCCAACGCTGCTGCTGCGGCTCACCGAAGGTGTACTTAACGCAGCAGATCAAACGCAGAAGCGTACGGCACAGGATGCTCTCCAACTGTTGCAGTTGCTCGTCAAGTGTGACAAGCCGCAGGTGACGCTGCAGCTCGTTCAGCAGATCATCTTGGACCGCCCTGAGGACAGCTCATGGCATCGTATGATCCTTCATCCAGGTCTTCTGAATTCTCTACCGGAAGCTGTCGCGCGCGGATTTCTGACAAGCCTGAGTGAAGATATACAGCTCAAGCTTGCTGGGAAGGTCGACCGCGACAGTACATCTGCGGATGAACAGCAACCAGCAGTGAAAGTAACGACGGTCAAGCTACTCGCACAATTAATGTCTGGAGCCGAGTTCATCGAGGAGACTCAAGCTTGTCAGATCTTGTTCTCCATTCTGGCCGTCGCGAAGCATGTTGATATCATCGTTTCTGTTGTCCACAGCCTGGTTGGCATCCTCAAAAGCCCGTCCGGCCAAGACGGAAAAGTGAACCTCATCCTGGACGCCTTGGAACGATTCGTTGTACCGATCATCTCAAGCATCAATGAGCGAATTCCACTGCGCGAGCAACAGTGGCAGCAACTAGAGCGCGATCCAAGTATGGAACTGCCGGAGATCTATATGGAGAGTGTTGCAACCGAGATCCCACCTGTGCTATCTACTGTCCTCGGTGCTATGCAAGACCTTCACGAAAACTTACAAGAACAAATGTTGACTCGTGTCTTGATCCCAACGCTGCGAGGCTCTGTAGTCAACAACACGCGGTGGTTGAAGTTGCTTTGTCGACACTTGAACATGCCAGACGTCGAGCTTCCGTCTATGCCTCTCAAGTTGCGCTTCCTCACACAGCTTCTCAGCTATCCAAGCTTCATCCCGGCTTCAATACTAGACTTCTGGCTGCAGGTCTACAGGTCTACCTACGATCCGTCCACCGACATCGCCTTCATCACAAAACGTATCGAAGAAGACTCAGAACTCCGTACTTCAAATGCCGGAAAGCATTGGCTGTCACTCTTCTCTGGCCAAGCAGTCCCCAATCTCACAGTAGATGATCCATTTCGCAAACTTCTACACACGGACGACTGGAAACAGAAACCCGGCGGGCCTTCGATCTCCCAAATCCAGAACATCGTACTTCAGCACGCGGAGCTCTTGCTTCATAAAGCCGGACCTGACTTCAAGGACTGGGAGGCCTTCATCAAGTACTACAAGTCGCCTTCATGGGTCGTGAGAATAGAACCTGCTTGGACGTTATATTACCAGAATCAACGACCACTCGTCGAAGAAATCTATAACCGCATTGAAGCAATGAGGACAGATGAGTGGCAGAGAAACCTGGATCGTTCTCCAGTTGTCTTACCTGATACTTTCAATCTACGAATGTGGCTCCTGATCAAAGACAGCGAAAATAACCCCGAAGAACAATTCATCCGCGGCGTCGAAACTCTCGTGGAGGAAATCGGTTCTTCACAAAGGCCTGGTGCTCAGCATTACAAAGATCTCGTCGTCTTCGTCGGCGGACAAAGTCTGCCTTGGGAAGCCCAGGCTAAGTTAGCGTTAAATCTTGGAGATCTGAAAGCTTGTGAGCGTGGGGGAGAAGGGCTATTCGATAGGACGAGCTATGCGCGTGTGGATTTTGCGAAGAGGATGGTGGAGAGTTTGGCGAAGCCTCAGGGTGTGGGGTTGAGGAATCGGGTTGTGGATATGGTGGAGAGTTGGGTTGGGTGTTTTGATGAGGAGATTAGGATGATGGGGTTGAGGTTGAGGAATGTTACGGATGCGGATCGATACTGGAAGAATGAGAAGTGGTATTTGGTGAGGGTGGAGGAGTGAGGTTTGAAATTTTGGACGTCTGTTTCTTGGGACTATGGACTATGTTGAAATAGATTCAGCAGGCTCAATGAACTGCCCTGGCCGTTGCCTTTGATGCCGGCTGACTCAGCGCCAAGACCGACTTCACCCCCTCCGGTCCACAATACACTCTCCTGTTCTTTCCTCCCATCGACCATCATAAGAAGAATATACAAGTCTACTTTGCACGATACCTCTGCATAACTGGAAGCTGCCACGGACAACACGTTCCAGCCAGCCACTCTCAAGTCCGGCCGCATTTCCAACCGGAGTCGCCGCATCTTGCTTGGCGTGCGCAAGCCACAGTCGCGCCTCCGGCTCGACAAGCACAAATACGATTGCTTGCCTGCTATTCTCCGATACTTTGTGAAGACCACGTGCGAGCACGCATGCATGAACGGGATATTATACTTCATCTTCGAAGCTACACAATGTGTGATGAGTTGGTCGTGCATGCAGAGGTGTTCTGGCCAGACGGTGGAGGCTATTTATCACTCGCAGGTGAAGGACGCTGCAGTTTCCCGTCATTCTGGAGGATCAAATGGGCAGACAGTAATGAGGTGAGGACATTCAGAGCGGTAGTTTTGTTCGATTCGTCTTGATGGCTATGCCACTAGATGCTAGTCGGAGGACTTCGAGCGCAGCTTCTTTTGGTAAGTGACTCTGTTGAAAGGCCCGAAGGCTACATGAGAGTTTAGCTACCACGTGCCGTCCTGCAGGAGGCAGTAGGAACTTTCGAATAGCAAGCGGTCAAGAAGCACCTGAGCTTCAAACCTACACAGAGCTCGCCAAGCCCGCGGATTCGAACATGTTCATTGTTTGAGACTCTAACAAATACTCTTCTGCGTTGAGAGACGTACGTGAAATTGCGGACATCGGTCGGAAAATTGGCTGATGACCATGCTAAAGCTGCGTTACGACGCCGGGAATGTCTCAAAGATGGCAATGAACACTTCGTCTTATATCAAGCAGTCACTTGTGGCATCAACCAGCAGTACATTGTGATAGAAGCCACAACAAGCCACGATGCCACCACACGTCCGGAGCTGGTCTATAGGGCTGGCATAAGGCTTTCCGTCTGGTTCGAGCTGGCCCACTGACTTTGACCTAGTGCACGATGTGATCCCGCTCTCCTGCAAGCCATTCTTCCGTCCAGTATCCACATTGGGCGATAGAGCAATGCCACGCAGTGCGCCAGAGCAGAGTGGCTATGGCATGGACTCAAATATAAAATGGTCTTGACTCCTCAGCGATACGAGGAAAGTCCCCAAGATTGTCCAGCCTACGACCTTGATCATTCATAATGAAGTTTACTGGAGCATTTACGCTCGTTGCGCAGTTGGCGCTTGTCTCTGCTACTCCACTGATCCCTCTACCGACGTGCTTGTTGATCAACCCTTTACTGCGCGTCCTCCGACAAGATGCTTCAGCGACCCCATTTTGTTCAAGCTATCTTTCGATCGCGACCGTAACTAGCACCGCAACCGCAACCGCAACCCCAGCATCGATCACCGCGTCGGCCAGCACCACCACGACGCTGCCAGTTGCAACGATCGTATCATTAACTACGACAAGCACCACGACAACACTTCCTACCGTCACTTCGGTGGTACCTGAGACTACCTTTACAACCACGACTTTGGACCAGGTATGCAGGAACTTGTTGTCTCTCTTATTCCAGCTTAGTCACATTTCTATACAAGCTGACACTTGCGACTTTCAGGCTACTTTCGTTGTACCTGAAACGACGTCGACGACGACTACTCTCGATGTGGCGACTGTTACAAGTACCGCCAGCGAGACCACGGTGAGTCCTGATCTCTGTCTCCTTTTGGCTGAAGCTGACATATCCCACTCAAGACCACTGTATTGTCCTTCACGACCAACTCGCGATCGACGGCGGTCACGACCGTTACTTCTACCAGCCTTTCTGCAACCGACTTCACATGTGCAACTGGTGCAGGTCAGCTTGCCGCCTTTACACCCGGGGCACAAGCTGTTGCTGCCCGAGCCATTGGTATTTCTGTTGCCATTGTACCTACGCCAACAGCTCTTCGTGGTCTGCTCGCTCCTGCCATTTCCAATGCTTGCTCGTGCTTGCAGATCCCTACTCCAAGCACTACGGTCACAACTACTAGGACTCTCGCACCAGGTTCGCAAGCTTCACACACATAATTGGCGGCAGCGGCTAACATTTCATAGGAACCGTTACTACAACGAACACCATCACCGAGTCACCATCGACAACTGTTACCAGCACGCAGACTAATACAATCACTGAATCACCGACAACTATCATAACTTCTACCCAAATCATCGTGGTGACCGAGTCGCCAACTACTACTGTGACCAGTACGCAGACCAATATCATAACCGAGTCCCTATCAACAACGATGTGAGATGACTCCCACTCCATGTTATATCATTTGCATATGCTGACAATGCTTGGCCAGTACCACCACTACCACTAGCATCGTGTCAGAATCCAGTACTTTTACCCAAACCCTGCCGCCTATCACTTCAACAAGGGTAATCATAGTGATCCAACCCACTCCCTCGACTTACCCAGGACTCAGGACCTATGAATACAGAAACAACCTCAACTTCAACAATCCAAACCCCGGAGAAGACGTAACAGCTTACAATAACCGCAACTTCCTCAGCACAGGACTCACTCCCGACATAAACGGAATCAGCTCCCGCGGCGGCACCAACTGCAACGTCCCTGGCGCAGGCTTCAAAGACTGCACACAACTCTCCCTCGTCTACCAAGGCTTCCTCTACGCTCCAATCACAGGAACTTACACCCTCTCTGTACCCGAAGGAGGCGTCGCAGTCGATAACTACTTCGGAGTATGGAGTGGACCAACAGCTTATGCGTCCTACAACAACGGCAATGCGGATTTCATCGCTCGCAGAGAAGGCGATGGGAGAGGCGGCGTGAATCAGAATGGTGGCTCCTCGCAGCTCAGATTGATCGCCGGACAATACTTTCCAGTGACGTTCATTTTTATCAATGGAGGTGGGCCTGGGTCTGTGGAATTTCGTGTTACGACTCCGGGTCAGCCTACTACTGCTAGTACGGCTGGGCTGTTCATTCCTGCGTGTATCGGGAGTAATCCTTTTTCGAATAGGCCTTGAGGGAGAGGCATGGGAGTGCTGGGAGTTTATGAATCTTAGCGGGATGTATGAGCGTTATGACCATAGTCTAAGCAATGAAGATATTTGCATGTCAAAGCTGTGCAACAAATGATGTTCCAGTATGCTTATGCCTGTGCAGCATTGCCTGCTTGTGATCGAATTTTCCATCTCAACTCAGGAGCTGCCATCTGCTCGGTTCGATTCATGCCTGCACATGCGATTGAGTACAATCAATGGGGCCGACGGAACAATGGAATGGCAACGACAACAAAGACTGGAAGGTTCGCTGGCACAGCAGTCATGTGTCAGAGCTGTGACTGATATGGAGTCAGAGTGAGAAGACGGGAAGATCATTTTCGACAACTTTGATTTGAAGGCTCTGTAAACTACATGTACAGTTCATCAATGCCTTCTGCAGGCGTGCCCATGTCTGCTCGTGACGTGTTCGCTGCGTATTATCGCGCGTGCGTCAAGGAGTCAGATTCCTGCTTGCAGAAGTGACCTTCCCGATTGCTCGGTGGCATCTGGGGTTCTTGTTCAAATGTCCTTCATCGGGTTTCCTTCGTCAGACGCTTTTGCCCCTCATGCCATCTCTTCAAGACATCTCCTCAATCCTCCTCATCCTCGTCAGAATCGACTTGAAAGAGGGGTGGATCAAACCTGGTGTCCGCAATGAACACAATGCTCTCAAACAACGGCATCCGATCTTCGAATATCTGAGGTGACTTGAGCCAAATCTCCATAGCAGATCTTGTAACAGATGCCATGAACGTAATCACACTCGTCTCATCCTCCGGCAACGTGCAATGTTGCAAGTCTCGGCGATCAAGGAAATTGCCGAGAGCCAACTTTTCTGCGCTGAAATGACCAAGGTAACGGTACACGAATTCTGCTAAGAGCACATGGCAGGATCGACCAGGGCAGAGATGTGAGAGAATGTGGATGCCGTAAATGAGGCTCCACTCGGGACCAACTGAGTCGGGGAGGTGAACCAGAGAAAGAGATTCGAACCAATTGGTGAAGAGTTCTGTGACTCGTTGCAGGCGATCTATCAGAGGGACGTCGTCTGTGCTGCGGTCCTTTAAAGTGATATCGGGTAGGACGAGAAGCCAGGTGTAGACGGTCATTAGCCACAAGATGCGCGCGGCATGCTGACCTTGTTTGGGTACTTGATCTATTGCACGCTTCAAGTTGTCAACGCTCACGTCTGGTTCGAAGAAAGATATGAGGTACTCTGCCGTGAGTTCGGTCTCACCCCTTGTGATGAGCTTGAGCCAGCGAGGATTCAGCCATTTGAGGCGTTTTCGATTCTCGCGTTCGTCTAACCAGAAACCTGCGATACTGCTGACGACCATCGAGCCGAACTTGGGCCCGATCGTTCTCTTGAGCCCGATGTCGTTCCTGGTAAGTTGAGGAACGACCTCACTCACACGAGATTGCGCGGTCTGGGCTTGGGTACGGGTCTTTCGCTTCTTTCGTGACGCTTGCGGGGATGCTTCATACTCGTCATCTGACTGAGCTCGTTTGCGGGATCTGACAATGCTGCTGGTAGGCTGAGGCACAACCTGGTCCGCTGTAGGCAGCAGGCCTGACTTCTTGAGAGCTTTGTTGTCATCGCGACGTTTTCTCCAGGGTTTTTTCAAATCCTGTACATTCTCGATACCTAAAGCTTTGGCGCGTCTGTTCAAGGCCGTGTCGAGTTTATCACCAGCTTGTCCTCCAGTCCTGTTATTTGTTGTACCTGCTGGTCTGTTGAGAGCCGATCTGTTTTGGCGATCTGCCATATCTTTGTTCGAAAACCATTCGCAGACCTGAAGGAGCTCATCGTCCTCAAGCTCTCCGTCCTGATGATAGAGTCCTGAAGCCTCAACCCAAGTGAGTGCCCTTGGTAGCATCTTGACTTGCTCTCAACGAATGTAGCTTGTCTTGCGAGAGCTAGAGAAGTGAGGGCCATGATCGCTATTATAGCATGTAACACTGGAAGAGCTGTTTGCTGTAGGGCTCCATCGAAGCGACCAGTATTTCTCAGAGCAAGCGGGCCTTTGTGTCTGGCAACAGTCGCGTTGCTTCACGTCAAACGGTTTCATTGTCACTTGTTGCGACAGAAGAAGGTCGACCCAAGTCTCAGCTTCAAGCAGAAAGCAAGCCATGTCAGTGGACAAAGCGCTGTGAATTCTTGATGTTGGAGCGTGGTTGCTGGTGGAAGGTACTCCGTGGTCCTACTGTCGAGGTCCAGAGCGTAGCGGAAAGCATGGCATCCTCGAAAGTGGCGACAGAAGGATAGTCGTGTTTCTATCCAAGAGCCACGAAGGTAGCAGTGCTCTCACAGAACCCCCACTTAGCCTGCTGCGGTCGTTTATGCTTGGAGTAGGACCTGAAAGTACCAGGAGCAGAAGGCGGCAGATGTGGCAACGTCAGGAAGGCTTCCGCCGGGCAGCAAAAGGGACACCGTGACCAACACGGCATGCTTTGCCCGTGGGCTAGAGTAATTCCTCGCCCCTTCGTATCTCTGCACTCACGCGGCGTCTTCGAGGCATCCTGTATTGTGAAGCGAGATAGCAACGAAATGTCGTTGCTTGCGAGTTTCCATGTTTGCTGTCGCAACTAGGAAGGTTGAGTACCTCAGTACGGAAGTGGCCTGGCCCCGAGGCATGAGAAGGAGGCAGGTGCAAGACGGCAGACGCCGCGGCAGCAGTCGCGAACGAACTTGCACTTCCGAGCTTCGAAATGTATACTTTCCGACGAGGATTGTAGTGCGAGTGAAACTGCTCCCTATCATCGTCAGCACAGTCTGCACAGCGGTGAAGTCCCACCAGGACAAGAGATCACTGCTCAGATCACACCGTGGCAGCCCTCTCCTTCGCCCGGGCTTCGCCGCCTCACCGCTTCCAGGCAGGCATCGTCAAAGATGGACCTTGATGAAGATCAGTCAGTACATTTCATCAAGGTAGAACCCACCACGTGAAGAAAAGTCCTGCAAGAGAAGTTCAAGTACGCAATCATGTCCATCATCTCCTCTACCCATGCCTATTATGATTCAAACGCCTCTATTACTCCCTTCAAACGCCATCGCACACCAAAAACGCATCTCATCTCATCTATGCAGCAGCAGCCATCGTCGAACCACAAGCGATCAATTCTCGCCGTCTTCCGTCGAGGCCGAATCGAACCATCATCACAACAACAGCACGCGCCCTGGCCCACAAATGCTCGAATCGAACCCCATAGCATCCCATTAATACCCGTGTATCGCAAGAAAGCAGAAAGAAAAACGCTCGCAGCATGACCAGCAAAACAGAAAAATCAAGAAAATGCTCCTATGCACCCATCGCCGACAGATGCTCCCACCGGAGGGCATCTGAAAAAGAGGAAGATTCATTCTTGGGGGTATACTTGCAAAGTGGAAGAACATTCCAAGCAATGTGTCGTGAGGTATTGTCTTCGCCATCTAGTGTTGTGGCATCTATCGCGGAGTTCCAACAAATCGGTCAAGTCGAATTCGAGGGCGTGCTTCGGCCCTCGTTCGTGTAAAGGTGTGTCGTATCATTCGTAACTTGCTTGCCAGGGCTGGTTGGTTTTGATCAGAGAGAGGACCATGGGAGACTGGTGGCATATTCCAGCGGCGGATGGTGATCCAAAGTCTCCAGCCGAAAACAGCGTTGTTTCACACAGTCTCTTGCGGCACAATTTCGCCCCAGGGGCAACTTGCCAGCTCGGAGCTTTCGCGAAAGTTGGAGACAAGATGCCTTTTGGCTATCCGGCAGCCCTTACAGTAGCAGTGCTCTCCGTCGAACTCTCGCTCAAACTGCGCTCATCCATGCTCGCCGCAGCGGCCTCGGCAGCTTTTCTTTGCGCAACCACTTCTCGAGCATAGAACTCAACGAGCATGGTTCCATAGGCTTCGATCTCCTCCACCGGGATACTCAGCCGGAAATCATTAAGCAGCAAGAACTGCAGCTCGAGATGGTTAAGCTCTGGCAAGGGGAGGCCGCCCACCTTAGCGTATCTTGAATTCGTGTAGAAGATGTCAGAAAAGAATTTGCTAGCGCAAGTAACACCAGCAATGACGAGCCGGTGAATGTTGAAGCTGTCCACGACAAAAAAGTGTGAAAGGTTATACGGGTCAATGTTCCCAGCAGCCGACAGTTCTGCAGGTATTGATGGCGAGTCCGTGTCCGGTTGGTTAGGCCTGCTGTGGGGTGTGCCTGGAATACCTCGCTCTTGAGGCTTCTCCATACCGCCAGAGTATGGAGGGGTCGCTTGCTGGGTCCCACTGGGTGTCGTGGCCGTCACTCCTTCCATGGAGTCTGAACTCAGTGACGCTGACGAATCGTTTCTGCCACCTTGTGCTTCGACAGCTTGTTTGTTTGCCTCTCGCAAGGACTGCATCGGGCCCGCGTTGACGCGCTCCGTCATTCTGTCAAAGTACACCAATAGGCTCAAGAATACCTCATAGCTGGTAGGACAGTACTTATTGATCCTGGACAAGTAACTCAAGATTGTTATGCTCGGCACGTTCTTGCCATGAAAAGCCAACACACTTGTAGTCTGCTGGTTGAGATGCGAAGCTTCGCTGATCGAGGGCGGCGCTCGGTGCAGATGCTCGTGCTGCCTGTCATTCGTGGTCGTAATTTTGGTGAGGAGGCCAGCGACCATTTCAATTATGTGCTCGACCTTCATCTCACTAATCTCGTATTGCGGGCTATCATCCTCCGTCGCTCTCGAACGCGAGCGGCTCCTGCTGCGGACTTCGGAGAAGTCTGCCATGTTCTCGCAAGCAAAGCTCTGAATGTGCTGAAGGTCGCGCACTTTGATCTTCCGTGGTCTCGACGAGCGCTCCGATGGCGTCGAGGGCGCGCTATCCGTCTGTGCACCTGTTTGAGACTGGTCGGCCTCTGGAGGCACGGCCGCGTTAGCAGCTAGTGGTGGGCTTGGTGGCTCTGCTGCGCTCTGTCTCGATGACGCCTGCGAAGGCGCCCTTGTATCTTCTGGTCGAACATTGTAGCTCGCCGGGGCTGCAGAAGAGCTGGTGGCTCTCTGCGCAGAATCGGTCATTCGCTCGACTCGCTCCTCGCCGCCAGGGGATCGCGAGCGGCTCCGTTTCGATGTCGGTGCGGGGTTTGGGGTGGGCGCTGTTCGAGGCGCTTCTCGGTAGGTGCTGTGCTGTGGATGGTCGTGTGTGGTCGCGTGGGGATGTCCGAAGAACGAGTTCACGGCATCGAGGACGACTGATCCCATGCTGGGGCCTTGGACGTTTGGATAGGTTGCTATGCTGGGGAAGATCAGTCGCAATGTTCGCGATGGCGGTGCTGCGCGAGCGCGCGCGGGACGTGGGTCTGCGGGTGATAAGAGTGGAGTCGGTGATATGCTTCAGTGCCGGCTGGCGGCGAGGTGAGCGGCGGGGCGTGGTGGTGGGAGTACCATGGTGCTGGCTGAGCATGTGAAGTGAGGAGCAACGCGTGCCCGTGGTGCCAGAGGTGCGGCGCGGCAAGATCGACCCTGCGCATGTCATCGGCAGCAACGACGCGTGCCGATGGACAGGCAGGCGGGCTGCCGGGTCGATGTGGTGGCCGCGTCGATAGAGCTCCGGTGTGCAAAAACTCTCCAGCAGCAATGAAACACGGCTACTCACCTGAATCAACCATATCGGTCGGGCTCGCGATCCAGCGCTGTGCTCAAAGTCAATTGGACAGCCGCCGCAGTACGTATGCTTTTGCACTGATGGCGATGGCGATGGGTAGCCGGGCGGAGCGGAGGCTGCGTGGTGTGTGGGCAGCAAGAAGGAAGCAGAGCTGGTATGGGAGATGAGGACCGAGCATCATGGTCTGGAAGATCTGCGAGCAAGGCTTCGCTCCGCCAAGGCCCTGCTTCAACGACGCTCACCAGCAGCTCGGCGCCTCTCAGGATTACACTTCGCACTTCTTTAGCGCGCGCTGCATCTATCGGTATTTTGAGATCACTTCACGTTCTATACCCGGCTGTCCCACGACGCATGGACGAGGCATGCCTGCCCTCCAGCCGCATCGAGCTTCAGACGTGCTTCGTCTGCCCTCCTGTTTGGGCACGTCAAAAGGAGGCGATGACGCTGTCGCAGCGTAATCAGCAAGGCGACAAGACGTCCACTAGCAATGCGCTATGCGCTAAGCAGCATGCAGGGATGTCGGTGAGCATCGGGCTACAACGCTCATTGGTACGCACGCTTCTTCACAAGCCAGATGTCAGTCACGCCATCCCTATTCGTCCTCCGACACGCAACATCTCTCTCCACTACCCGTTCACTTGTGTTGCCCTAGGTTGACGGCAACGGCCGTACCAGCCGTACTCTTGCCCGCAATTGACCTCTCCTGCATGAGATCGAGCCGTGTACAGTCGTAGCGGTGCTACCTGTCATATTCCTATAAGAACAGAGCCACCTTTTGATACATCACAAGCAGCTGCCGACCTCGGGCCATTCCAGCAAGCTTGCTGCGAGATTGTGCCAGTTCGAGATTCCATCTAGACCGTTCTCTAGGCTCAGCGGCAACACGAACACGAATCAGCCGGAACGGGTCAAACTAAAGCTCGAGAGGGAGGAAGTGGTAGCTGCCGGAGCTGGACTTGCTCCATCATAGATCTTGTACTATACAAGTCCTGGCGTAACCGCATTTCGCAGCGGCGCAAAGCGCAGCAAGCGGTATTCTATGCATACATGTCTGTGTCATCATCATGTCCTTATGGCTTGTCTGTTCCCGGCCCTTCGTAATTCCTGTCAGGCAGGTACAGGTGCCGCACAGCACCTTTGGCTGTGAGCACGACCATTCGAATCACACCACCTGAACTGCCGTCCCACTTGATTGCCTCTTTCAATGAGCCCTTCACAAACTCGATGCCTTCCTCTTCAGTCATGCCCTCTTTCCAGTTCGCGTCTGTGTAGCCGTAGATGTATGTCGAACCTGAACCAGCAATGGCAAATGCCTGCTTGTGCAGCGATCCGCCCAACGGAATCTGGTATACCTGCCCTCCATGTCGTGGATCCCAACCAGCAATGATGATGCCTGCGCTCAGCATGTCCTTGTTCTCATAACACAGCTCTTGAAACAGTGCTGCGGCGGTCTGTGTGGTAGGTGCTTCGTCGTTCGTGATGCCGTATGTGCTGAGATGGTACTGGACGATGTCGGCGACGGCTTGTGTGTCTGCGGCAGAACCCGATCGACAGCACCAAATCGTGTCGTGGACTTGCGTGAGCTTGTCCGTCACTCGGTTGGCAATGTATGCGCCTGTGGTTGTGCGGGAGTCGGCGCCGAGGATGACACCGTCTTTGAAGTTGATGGCCATGATGGACGTTCCAAGGTTGACCTCACCGGACTTGAGGTGGTTCATGTCGATGTGGATGCCATCTGTACAGCAACCGTCAGTTGGTGATGGCGATGAATCGCAAATGCTCGCATTCACTTACCCTCGCCTAGCGAACCCGTTTGGTTAATCATTTTGGCGTTGCTGTCGTCTGTCAGATAGTAAGGGGGTTGATGACCAGGAGGTGTGAGTGTGCGATGTGGAAGCGGCGAGATGGAGTGGTTGCAGTGTTTGGTGAAGTCGTGCCTGATGCACTTGTCTGAGGCAGGCACGAGATGCGCGTCAAGCTTCGAGGTCCAAGCTCGCCGCGACTTTTGCTTCACTGTCCGTGCCACAATATGCCATCACCAACACAACTTCCATGGCCGATGAGTACGACATCGACGACGAGGACGAAGTGCGCATCGACCGACCAGATGACACTCATTTGACGCTTGTGCAATATCTCGGCCACCCCAAAGTTCACCGCTACACGTTCCTGGCTTTGCTCGCCACAACGATCGCTATTGCCAACGTGGACAGTCTCCGTGCAGCATGGCGAACCTTCTGCCATGGCTTCGGCTACCTTTCTACCTGAGCGCTGCTGCTGTCAGTCTGGGCGGCGGTGCTTTGTACTACTTTCAAAAGTGAGACCATTCGAAAGCTGAATGGCCGAACGGATATGCTGATAGCTTGCCAGCGAAATAATATACCCTCGAAACTTGCCTCCTGGAACCAGAACAGAAGTACCTAAGCCGCCTCAGTTCGGTATTGAAGACTACGAAGAGCTGTCGATACCCACGCCAGATGGCGAAACTTTGCATGCCTTCCTTGTGCGGCCAGCGAACAAGGCCCAGGCAAGACCAATCACGATCCTCAGCTTCCACGGCAATGCAGGAAACATTGGCCATCGACTACCGATTGCCAAGGTATTGGCGCATGATTTGGGATGTACGACAGTAATGCTGGAATACCGTGGATACGGTCTATCCACTGGCAACCCGAACGAGAAAGGCCTGGTCATTGATGCTGCGACGGGTCTGGACTACATCCGCAACCGTGAAGATCTCAAAGGAAACAGCATCATCGTCTATGGTCAAAGTCTAGGCGGCGCCGTAAGCATCGATCTCGTCACCAAAAACAAGGGCACTGGCGATATTAAGGGCCTCATCTTGGAGAATACCTTCCTGAGCATAGCAAAGATGATTCCCAAGGCTGTGCCTATTGCTAAGTATTTGACACCGCTCTGTCACGAGTACTGGAGAAGCGAAGAGATGATTCCACAAATCACAGATGTCCCAATACTGTTTCTGAGCGGTTTAAGGGACGAGATCGTGCCGTGAGTAACCTATAAAACAGCTTCGCTGTAACGCGCTAACAGCGAGTAGGCCAGAGCATATGAAGGAGCTTTTCAAGCTAGCTCGGACTCCGCGAGTGATGTGGAAGGAGCTGCCGTACGGCGACCACAATGCGACTGTGGCTGAGCCTGGCTACTTTCAGAACATTGAAGAGTTTATCAGGAAATACGTGTCGTCGTCTTGATTGGGCACGGCGCTGTATTGAGCGTGGTGTTCAATGCCCAGAATAGCACTCCACCAGCTTACACGAACATCTCGGGAACCGGAGACCGCATTGCAGTCATAAACAACGCCGACGCATCTTCGAGATTGTCTTGCTCTCTATGTTCAAAGAAGTCCTATCACGCCTGCCGCCCACGTATCGGCCCAGCCAGATTCTCGCACTGGCCGACAATGCTAGGGCTTCTTTCAGGGGAGCAATACGCTTTGTTTAGGAGTCTTTGATTTGTTGTACCCCATCCTTTGGTCTAAACCTCGGCATGCGGCACAATGCATTGTTTCGACCTACTTATGGCTGCAACGCTCTCAGGAAATATGCTTTCTGCCTCTCAAGCTTTCCAGCTTGCATCTTCGAGATCATATCATCTCCAGCATCAGCACTCTCAATTCGCTGGTCGAATTGCACATCTATCACTCAAGTCCAAGCTCAGAAACGACAGAGAAGATCTCAGCGCGAACTAAGCACAATCATGTTCGGCATTAGAAAATCTTCTCCGGAACCTGTGTGGACGCCATCGGGAGCCTCCTCGGGCAAAGAGGCTCTTCCACCGGCGGTGGTAGATGTGGTGCTGCGTTGTTGGGACGATCATCAGGAAAGCTGGAAGAAATCTAGTGATGCATTGACGGACTGGTTGAACGAACGTTGGGCCAAGACTGGGGTACAAGTCTCCAGAGAAACGGTATGTTTTACTTTGCGTGCTGCGGGGAGGGATGCGAGAATGGGTATTCCTGACTGCAAAGGCGGGCGTTTCTTGCGCGAAAGCATTGAATGGGTATATTAGATCATATGAGCGATTTCGCCAGCACATATTTTAGTGCGCCCTCAAAGGGTTACAAGGGCATTGGTAAGAAACACGACTGACGAGTATACACTTCAAACATAATGATATTTGCTGCTTCTAGATGCATACCTCACAGTGCGAACCGACGATCGACACCATCCCTACTCAGCGATATGTGCTTGATCTGAGCATCATAGACCATGCAGCGACTATCGTTCCACTCGAAAAACAAAAACTACTCCACCACGTCAGTGTGGTGTATACAAAACGAATGGTCCTCGCGTCAGTACCTGCCCCAGACACTTCTTTGTCTGTTGTCATTGTTGTCCCAATCACGAGGTGCCCGGCGCAATGCAGCCCTTCTCTTTGTCCTGTATTTCGCCTCTTTGCATCACAACCCGCAACCTTGCAGCACAGTCGATCCCACATCAAATCACCAACATTTACACTTTTAGCAAAAAAATCACAGAAAAGTACACAACACAAAATCAATCTTACATCACACGAGAAACAAGCCGACACATTCACAATGAAAACCCTCCCCACCCTCCTCCCCACCCTCCTCCTCACCCTCACCACCGCCCAAACCCCCGACCAAGACTTCCAATACTCCGCCGCCTGCGGCGCCAAAAACCCTGCCGTCAACCAAGCCATCGCAGCCTTCTGCCACAAAAAAGACAAAGCCGGCAACTACGCCGATACCATTACCTGTCCCGGCTCTCGCTCCGAAACGGGGGTCGTGAAAGAAGGCATCCGAGCCAAAATTACAGGAAATTGTACTCCGAAGCAATGGGTTCCGGGCAAATTTTGTTTGTTGCAGTTTCATTATATTTGTGCGACAGGTGATGCGAAGGGGTTGGGGACGGGAACGTATGGGACGAATGGGTGTCAGAAGTGGACTTTGGAGGAGGCTGTGCCGAATGTTCCGGATATTTTGGGGGCTTTTGGGTTGGGGAAGCGGGGAGAAGAGGAGTGGGAGTTGGAGCTTGAGGGAGAGGAGGAGAAGTAGGTTGGAGGAATAGTAATAGATTAATGCCAATTTATGTCGTACTGTCTCCTTACAATTCTCGATGTGAGCCATCGAGGCTCACAGCTTGACCTGAGATGTTTTCACTCATGCCCCCGGCTAAGAACAACACAAGATTGCCAACCTCATAGAATCGTGGCGGGGGCGCTTTGGCGTCAGGTGCATCCTTCGCAGATCTTTCTGTTTTGATGAGTGCGGTCATGTGAGATTTCGCTTCTTCGTAGGGCCTGGCAGAGTCTTGACTTTCAGCGTTTGTAGCTTCGATGTCTGTTAGCAGTGGAAGGAGTATTCAGTGAGACAAATTCGTCCGTACTTTCTGGCACGATCATATTAGTTCTGATGGCCGTGCCTTGGAATCGCTGTGTAATGTCTTTCGTGAAATTGGTCTGCAGTCGTCAGTAGGCCATTTACACTTGGAAATCGACCAGACAAACAATCGCTCGACTTCGGTCTTCATCGCTACCCTCGACATTTCCTGGAACAGTGATAATCGACCCTTGTCCCGCTTCTTTGATCACATCTCCAAGTCCTTGGGTCAAATTACTGATACCATCCAAGTCCGTTCCATCTTCGCCAACCAGATTTACAAGAGCATCGAATTTACCGCCCAAGCTATCGAACTTCTTCACTGAAGCTGCGATGATTTCTTTTGGAGTCTCCGGGTCATTGAGGTCTCGTTGTTCGAACTGAAAGTGAGTTCCAAGGCCTGCGTTCAGTGAGTGATCTCGAGCATTCTTGTCGATGCCTAGGACGAGGGCATTTGCTTTGAGTAGCGTTTTGCAGATCACGACACCGAGCGGTGTAGAAGCATTAGTTACGACGCAGACTTTGTACTGCAGATTCAGCGGATTGGTCCTTTCAATGATAGACATGGTGAGAGGGTGGTGAGAAGTGAGGGTCAAGGAGAATTTGAGGCGTTGCACACGAAAGGCGACAGGGCTGTATACAAAAGCGGAGTGCTTTGGCTCCTCTTCGATCGCCGTGAGGTCGCTTTTGGCAGTTAAGGTCCGGACCAAAGGTTATGCTTGTTTTCGGAAGCCGCCAGCGGGCACGCGGAGGTGAGTGAAGGTCGGCACCAGCGCGCGAGTCAGGGAGCACATGCAGCCAAGACTTTGAGCTCTTCTGCGTCAGTTGAGCATCGGGTGATCGCGTCTCGGAGATCGTCTGGAACAAGCATCAACATGGCCAAGCGACCGGCGGAGGAAGCGCTCGAAGGTGCTGTCACGGACTCGCCGGCGTCGAAGAAAGCGCGCGTACAGGACGCTCCTGACGAGGATCTTCCTCCTCCACCTCCGCCAGAAGTACCAGCTTCGAGTAACGGACATGCGAATGGCGCGGTGCGAAATGGACAAGATGAGGACGATGACGACCTTGAAGATGAAGACGAAGATGAACGCGCAACATCGACGCGGCAGACAGCGCCAATCGAAGGCTACTCCGACCTCTACCTCGATACGATAGCACGATCACGACTGGACTTCGATTTCGAGAAATTATGCTCAGTAACGCTCTCCAATATCAACGTATACGCCTGTCTGGTGTGTGGAAAATACTTCTCTGGGAGAGGCGCAAAGACTCCGGCATACTTCCATGCCCTAGAAGAGGGGCATCATGTGTACATCAACATGGAGACGAAAAAGGTGTATGTGCTGCCCGATGGATACGAAGTCAAGAACAAGAGCTTGGATGATATCAAATACGTGGTCGATCCTCGATTTACCCCGGCAGAGGTCAAAGCAATGGACAAAGAACCACAGCCCAAGTGGGATCTGCTGGGTCGCAAATATATTCCAGGCTTCGTGGGTCTGAACAACATTAAGGCCAATGACTACTTGAACGTGGTTGTCCAAGCCCTGTCACATGTCACGCCGCTCCGAAACTTCCTCATGCTGGAAGATCTATCATCGAAACCGGAGCTCGTGAAGCGATTCAGCGTGCTGGTTCGCAAGATCTGGAATCCCAAAGCGTTCAAGAAGCACGTCTCTCCGCACGAGTTGATACAGAACATTTCGCTCCAATCTGGCAAGAAGTTCTCACTCACCGAGCAGGCCGATCCGGTGGAGTTTCTCAGCTGGTTTTTGAACAACCTCCATCTCGCCCTAGGGGGCAGCAAAACCAAACCGAAGTCGTCAATCATTCAGAAAATCTTTCAAGGCGCTCTCCGTGTAGAGTCTCAAGAGATTACGGCGCGAGCCGATGCTGGTGATCGGTTACGATTCGAGGACACGGCTATCAAATCGCAGCAATCGCGATTTATGATTCTGACGCTTGACCTGCCCGCTGCGCCTTTGTTCCAGGATGATGTTGAGAAGAATATCATCCCACAGGTACCGCTGACCACGGTGCTACAGAAGTATAACGGCATTGTGGCACAAGAAAGGATGAACACACGAATGCGGTACCGGCTATTGCACCCTTTACCGCCATACCTGATCATGCACGTAAAGCGCTTCCAGCCCAACAAGTTCTTGCAATCGCAACGCAATCCGACAATCGTAACGTTTAATCCTCGAGCGCTGGATATGAGCCCCTACGTGGAGCCAGATCCTAAGCAACACCCAATGGGCGAGCCGATTGTATACGATTTGGTCGCGAACATCACATACGAAGGTGTCAAAGTGCGCGATGATTCAGTGGAAGGCGAAGCCGAACGGAAGGTGTGGAAAGCTCAGGTGAAAGAAGGCGGCGATAGCAACCAATGGTGGGAGATGCAAGACGACTTTCCCGTCGAGAAGGTCAATGCAGATCTGCTGGCTACGAAAGAGAGCTATGTCATGGTATGGGAGCGACGAAGAGGGAAAGGAAAAGGCAAAGCGTGGATTCCATGAGCTCGAAGCCCTGCGATTGACTGTGCAGACTTTATGTACACACGACGAACGCTGCCGAGCTTTGCGTCGCAGATCATCGCTCAAATCGTCCTCGCGCTCCCATCTGTGCGCTGGTTTTGAGGCTAGACCCTTGACCTCGGCTCATACTAGCTTGCATACCGCACACCTCATGTGCAAGAATAGAAGACCATACCTTGTATACTAATCAAGCACGCAAGCACACATACACGCAGGAACGATGGCGCAATCGCACGGATCCGGCAATGGCAAGCTCACCTTATACGTGGACCTCATTAGTCCATTTGCCTACATGGCATATTGGCTGACTAGGGTAAGTCGAGCCAGCTTCCATCGCACTCAACTCCGCGACAATGCTATCCAGCACACACCCAGACACAATGCCTCACCTCAGCGAACACATAATCAACCTTCACAAACCGCACCTCGACCAACTAACATGATCCCTTCCCACCACAGAACTCCCCCGCCTTCACCTCCTCCTCCATCCAAATAACCTACATCCCCATCCTCCTCGGCGGCGTAATGGCAGCCTGCAACAACCAACCACCCTTGAACATAACCAACAAAAAAGACTGGATCAACCTCGAACGAACTCGTACAGCTTCTATGCTCCGCATCCCAATCTCCTCTTCCACCCCGAACCCGTTTCCTCAATCAACCGTAAACGCCCAACGCGCATTATGTTACCTCTACTCTCAGAAATCGCAAACAGAATTGATCAAAGCTTTGGATGTGCTTTATGAGGCTTTTTGGGTTAAATGTGTGAGTCCGATTTCGGATTTGAAGAATTTGGAGCAGATTTTGGGGAAGGCTTTCGGGGAGGAGGAAGTGAAGGAGATTTTGCAGGGGATTAAGAGTGAGGAGGCTAAGGCTACGTTGAAGAAGAATAGTGATGAGGCTTTTCAGGAGGGGTGTTTTGGTTTGCCGTGGTGGGTTGCAACGAATGGGAAGGGGGAGAAGGAGAGGTTTTGGGGCGTCGATCATGTGGGACAGGTTTTGGATCATCTGGGGGTGGAGGTCAATGCGGAGGATGGGAGGTATAGGAGTATGCTGTAAGATGACGAGTTGAGAAGAGTATGCGGGTAAACAGGCCAAGACTTGGTCATTCAACGTTGTTTGTCCAATGTACATGATCTACGCACAGGTATCAGAACACAAAACGCAAGAAATGCTAGCTACGCCATGCAGTGCTGTCCCTTTGCCTAACTCTACTGTCGTAAGTAGATCTATTGCGCCTCCATGTGGTCCAAAATAGCCCTCGTGAATTGGTGTGTCGTAGCCTCACCACCCATGTCGCGTGTTCGTGTCTTGCCCTCAGCGATCACATCGTAGACGGCCTTGGAGATTCTGTTGGCGTGGTCGTCCAAGCCAAGATGTCGCAGCATCATGCTTCCGGACAGGATAAGTGCGGTTGGGTTGGCCTGGTCCTTGCCCTTGATATCAAGACCGACGTGACGGCAACCTGGCTCGAAGACGGCAACCTCACGACCCATGTTGCAACCTGGAACGATACCCGGGCCACCGACCAAGCCGGCACCAATGTTGGAGAGAATACCTCCGTACAGGTTAGGCATGACCATGACGTCGAATTGTTGAGGCTTGGAGACACATTGCATGGAGGCGTTGTCGACGATCATGTCGTTGGTCTCAATGGTAGGGTACTCCTCGCCGACCTTGCGGACAGTGTTGCGGAAGAGACCATCGGCCAGCTTCATGATGTTGGCCTTGTGGATGCAAGTGACCTTGCGGCGGTTGTTGGCGAGCGCGAAGGAGAAAGCGAACTTTGCGATGCGCTCTGACTTGGCACGGGTGATGATCTTGAGGGACTCGACGACACCTGGCACGGATTGGTGCTCCAGACCAGAGTACTCTCCCTCGGTGTTTTCACGGATGATGCACAGATCGACGTTCTTGTGCCGTGTCTCGTAGCCGGGGATGTTCTTGATGAGGACGATGGAGGCGTAAATATCGAGCTCTTGTCGGAGAGCAACGTTGAAGGACTGGTGGCCGGATCTCGTGACGGGTGTGTGGAGGATACCTTTCAGACCCAACTTGTTGCGCTTGAGGGAAGCGATGGACTCGCGGAACAGCTCCTCGGAGTGCTTGCCGCCGGTCTCCATGCCAGACACGTCGACCTGCTCCCACTCGACGGGCACATTGTCTGCCTTGAAGATGGTCTTGACCGACTCGGACACTTCGGCGCCGATACCATCACCTGTCACACAAGACATTTAGCTCCACTTCCACTTCGGCGCCATCAGAGCTTTGACGCTTGCTTTTGCTGGCGCATACCTGGGATCAAGGTGACCGTGTATTTGCCCCCGAACTTGGTGGGCTTGAAGATGTCCGAGGAGATGGTCGCGTATGCTGTTGTATGCTGTCAGACTATGCATTGTCTTGCGTATCGGTGGTATTGGACGAGGTTCGCGTACATCGTGCGGCGACAGACGGGCATTGTGCCGAGAGCGCATTGCTGCGGAGGGCCTGCGCGCGGTGTGTGGTCAGCAGTGTTCACAGTATGGCTTGGTAGTCAGGATCGCGCTCACCTGAACGGCGTGTCGGGAGAACATGATTGCGGCGAGTGGGCGGACTGGTGCAGAGGTGCGAGGACAGCAGAAAGCTTTGGTGGTTTGACTTCCATCACAAGCCGTCGAGCCTTCCCGAGCTCGGATGCATGGCCAAGCCTGGTTAGTCCCTCAATTGCCAACCCGTGAACTTCCACGGAACCTCACCATCCAAGACTCCTCCTCCGAGCAACTTCACCGACGTCTATTATCATCACCATGTCGACGCGTCTACATGATTCATTCGAGCCATGAGCAGCGCACTGATGCACACGACGTGGCTGACCACAAGCGACCCCACAGCAGTTGGCGATGCTCGCGTACTCCAGTCTCCAGCTCCCGACCGGGGCATCTGAGGAGCAGTAGATGATGGAGTTATCGTACGGCATAGCCATCAGTGTGCTCACCGCTGTGGTCTTCACCTGGGGCTGCTCATTCACCAAGCTGCTGCGAAGCACTGCATGGAGCAAACAATCGCTGCCGGATGCCAAGACATTCACAACAACGCTGCACAACTTGCGGTCGAGCCTTACCCGGATACACGGCTTGCCTTGTGGTCGATATGCGGAGAATAAGAAGACACACCTGGCTGAGTGCTTGTGGCAAGGCACAAAGGGCACTGGCTCAAGCAGAAGTCTCTCCGCACTCGATATCTTATTGACACCCATTTTGGGACTTCACCTCCTGACCCAGGCCATGCTTTGGCAGCCACATGGCAAAGACGACCCCGAACTCATTGTAACTCACTCACACAGCAACCCATTGACCAACAGCTAGAGCGGACCAACGCACCGGTGTGATCCCAGGACTGTGGCTACTACTGCCAGGACAAAGCACCACAGCCTGTTCGAACGCTGTTCTGGTGAGATATGATCAGGGTCTTGCCATGCATCACAGTTCAGTTGAGTTGCAATTCGCTTTAACCCCCCTTGAGGGCATCCGACGCATACATATGCTTGCCTCAAATCTGTGTCAAATATCAGAATCAAGTCCGGTATCACCTCGGCCTTGTTCTCGTTTCATCCAGTGCTCGAGACCTACTCATCTCCACCACTCTATTGACAAGTTCCTATTGACAGACATTCTCTTTAGCATCTTGCGGGCCGATCAAAGGTGGCAGCACGGTTCGAGTGGCCGTCTTGATTGAGTATTCCTTTGTACCACTGCGCTATTGACACCCCTATTGAGAAGTACTACTCTTTCCTGGCCACCTGAATCGACTATATCAATCGCCATCCAAGCCGCTGTTTGCGTCTTCCTTCTCTACCCACCCACAAGTCATTCGTTACTCGATCCGACTTTGAACACCACGGTCAACAGTCTTAAGACTAAACGGGATTACCTGCCAACATCTACCAACACAAACCCCACACACAGAAAAAAACAGTCAACATGAAGGGAGCTATCTCCAGCGTCCTGCTTCTCGCAAGCGCTGTCAGCGCCATCGCTGTCGCCGAGCCAGAGGCCAAGAAGGTATCGGTCCCATCGAAGCCAAAATGGCAGGGCAAGCCATTGATCATCGTGGAGCGGGAGGCTGACGCAAAGAAGATCCAGGTCGCCCGCCCACGATTTGGTTTCTGCGGTGTCGCAGGCTCCAACTGCAAGCGTGAGGCCGACGCTGAGGCTGAGGCCAAGAAGATCCAGGTCGCACGCCCACGATTCGGTTTCTGCGGTGTCGCAGGATCCAACTGCAAGCGTGATGCCAAGAAGATCCAGGTCGCCCGCCCACGATTCGGTTTCTGTGGTGTCGCTGGCTCCAACTGCCAC